GGTCCTCCAAAGGGTCTCAGGGTTGCTCGCTGCTCTACACTTCTACATGGCCCAATTGCGCCACTCCAATAAAAGCAACCTAAGTCTTCAGGCCGGTCCATTATAGACCCCACTTACAACCTAAATCAACCCTCCTTCTTGATGACGGACTTATATCCTAAACCCTAAACCCCATTAAAAATCCTACAAAAAAGCCCTCCTTCTTGATGACGGACTCATAGACCTTGCCGGTCGTGAGGTTGTTATCCCTGGGAGCAGCAGGAGCACTCAGACCCGGCTTAGGGTTTTAATGTTAAGTGGTTTTTTAATTGTTATTTTAATTTGTTAAGGTTTACTGTTTTTTTGTTATACTCTTTTCACTTTTTATGGGCTCTTTTCCAACAGCATTAGGGTTTCGGGCTTAGGGTTTAGGGAGCTCAGAACAGAAGGTGTCACTGAGGGCGCAAGGTTTAGGGATTAACGGGCTTGGGGGTGTTAGGGTGTAGGGTTTAGGGATTTAGGGGCTTAGGCAGTTGGGGTTTAGGGAGGGTAGGGGCTCCGGGGGGTTTGGGTCTAGGGTATAATTGAGGGGCTTAGGCAGCACGCCCAATCAAACGAAGAACAAAAGGCTTCCGAAGCCTCATCTTACTTCCCCTATAAGCCACAGAAATAAAAGGTCAAACTTTCCTGTTTCTACTGAACTAGAAGAACCCAAAAAGCTTAAAGGTTGGGTATTGGGGAACTAAGTCATGCCAGCAGTTCAGGGACCAGTGCATGATAATTCTCAAAGACCCTTGATGCGGTTGCTAGCAAAGCTGGTGAAGGTTGAGCTGGGGGGGTGCAATCATGTTCAATATTGTTGCTACTATTGGTGAATAGTCGTTTATCTAAAACTATTGAAGTCTTGTTGAGCCAACAAAAAGAATGGTTATTCATTTTTATTATTACTACTCAATTTGCATGTGTGCAGAGGATGCCTTCCAAGAGAGAGGTACATCATCCGCTCATAGTTGCCCAGATCGAGGTCTGTCTCTCCGCCGTCATCCAACCTGGGCAGAGCAGACCAGCAACATCCATCCAGCTGAGGGTTTAGGTTTAGGGTTTTCCATCAATCTAAGAGTGGAGAATGGGGTACTTCAAGGCAGACCAGCCCCAAGTAGTAGCATGCAAGGAAACACAGGAAACCTAGTTAAACTTAGTAGCATGCAAGGAAACACAGGAAACCTAGTTAAACTGACACCCCCGTGGTGTGGGTGTGGCAACAGTCTGACGGCAATGCAACTGCCGGAAGTGCAGCCAGGCAGCACATACACCTGCAGGGGCATGATTCACACGCCGCCACAACCCAACTTCAAAACACAGCTCAGTTGGCTTGTCACTGCATCAAACCAATACTAGTCTACGGCGGGGATTCAGGAAGACCCTTTGCCTCACCGTGCTCGTACCTCAGTCAGCGGAATCATACAAATGCACGTTCCGCACTGCGTGTCAGTCTGGCTGTGCATGCTGCCAGAAGGCGGACTCATCAGGCCAGCGTCAATGTTGATGTATGGATCCATCTTGATAGCCGTGACCTGCACATCCGTTCCTGTTCACAAATATAGTCTGTTGTAGTATATTAGTACAGTAAAGGACACCATGTAATCATACGTACATGTACATACATACTACTGTATTATGTCGTACTATACTATATCAGAATACTACATCATTATCCACTACACTATATCATATCACAAGGTCACAGGGCTTCTCCGAGAGCTTGAGGCCGTTGCTCGGAAGCCGTGGCCGCGGAGCAGCGCGCCGATCGAAGATGTGGCAACGCCCTGCAGGGAAGCTAAAGAACCCCAAAAAGAGAGCTCCCAATGCTCCTTACTCTAAGAATATACCTCAAATTATAAGATGAAGCCGACTATAACTTAAGATATGCTCCTCAACCTGAAATTATTACAGTACCGGATGACGGCCCTCGCAACTTAAGATACAGAGCTTCATGAAGGCATTGGGCGCGATGCGAACCTCGTGGAAAACCTAAAAACCCCTAAACCCTAAGCCGCTAAAACCCTAAACCGTGAAACCCCTAAGCCCTAAACCCTAAACCTCTAAACCGCGAAACCATTTCATCCAAACCCTTACGAAACGGGCCCTTCCCGCCTTGCCGAGAGAACTGCAGACTCCGCCAGAGACGACGACGTACTTCACGGCCTGTCGGTTAGGGGTTTGTGTCAGGGTTGCGGGCTCAGGGTTTACGGCTTTAAGCCTAGCGTTCAGGGCTTACGGACTGTTTAAGGACTCAGAGTCTTTGTTTAGGGTGTCAGGACTCCGTGCTTGAGCGTCGAAGACTAAGGGTACATGGCACTTGGAAGAGCAATGATCCAGTTGCGATTCCAAAGGGACGATATCAATAGGGCTTTGGGGTACATTACAGTCTAACTGCACAATAGTTATAATATAGCTATACTAGAGTAATAATTAGTATAGGTATACTTACACTTGTTAGTATAAGTGTAGCATACTTACAGTATACTATGCTTATAGCATAGTTATAGTAGAGTTAATTGTCGTAATGCAGGGGCCGTAATCATCACAATAGGGTTTGGGGGGGATATTATACCATAGTTATAATATGGCACCCCCAAAACCCTACTCTAAGTATTAAGGCCCCTAAACTAAACCCATATAGTATCCCTTACAGTAACAGTAGCCCTTATAGACCCCTTGAAGGGATCCCGTAAAGGAGCCCTATTCTAACTATTAAGGTACCTACATTATCATTCGGTGGCCTGATCGACTTGTGGCCGGAAGGCTGCAGTGGCGGGCGAGCGTGGGGGCAGCAAGTGATGCGCCTCCCCGAACTCGTCCTTCGTGGAGTGAGGGGGTTTTGGGGTTTCCTTTAAGGGATCCCTTAAGGGCTCCTTTAAGGGCTCCTTTGATGGTTCCTTGAAGGGTTCCTTTGAGGGATCCCCGTAAAGGATTTACAAGGTTTGGGGTTTCCTTTTGAGGGAGCCCTTTAAGGGATCCATAAGGGGTTTATAAGGGGTTCAGGGTTTTGGGTTTAGTTTGGGGTTTAGGCTTCAGGTTCAGGGGTTTAGTGCTTTATTGCCGTACATCAGGGAATCTTCCAGACTTGACTCTACTTAGCTGCCCTTTGAAAGAATAAAAAATACAAAAATACAAAATGTTCTTACGAGCCCCCTTAAGCTATATTATAAGAGAAATAAAGCATACCCTAAACCCTAAACCGTGCTAAGAGCAGTAAAGTCTGTCGCAGACGAGATTCTGGAGGTGCAGGCGACGGTGGCGGAAAGAGGTGGTAGTCAGAGGCTGCAGAGTCCGTCTTCCTGCACAGGAAAAGCGCCCTAATGTAGGGGTCTTATTGGGTTTGGGGGTATAATCATACTACAATTACAATGAGGAACCGGCCCCTAATGTAGGAACCTGATTAAGAAACTCTGGGCCTATAACCCCATAATAGAATTAGAAGGATTCATAGGAGGAACCCTAATGAAGGCCCAAGGTTTCTTGTTCAGGTTACATCATAAGATCCCTCAAACCATAAGGATCCTTTGGGGGGGTAGGGGGCAGGGGGGACGGGGGCCTAAATACCTTCTATAAGGACCTTTTTGGCTTAATAAAGGAAGCATAGTCCCCTACCCCCCTCCCCCTACTCCCCAAAGGGTCCCTATGATGATAGGAACCCGAAAATTCTTAGCTTGCCTGAGCTTCATCATCCTCATGGGCTCCAGGCCGTCATCCCTAGGCCTCGTCCGAGACTCCCTTAGCCGCGTTGGACGGTTTAGGCTTTAGGGTTTAGGGTTGAGGAGCCTAAACTATGGGAATTGTGGTATATTCCGGATTATGGGTAATGCAGGGTTTATATCATCAACAGTAGGTACCTGTACTTACCTTTGGTTAGTAGGGAATGGAGGGATGGGGTACAGTTATAACTACTATTACTACCATCCTTCCATTCCCTACTAACCAAAGGTAAGACTACCCGACTGCCCCTATAGATCCCAGTATAAGGAACCTCTATAGATCCCTTTAGATCCCTTAAAGGAACCATTCCCTACTAAGGGGGGAGGGGGGCAAAGAGACTTTAGGGTCTTATCTCCTTTTACAGTAGAAGCCATAAAGTTGGAATATCATTATCGTAACCCCTTTAAGGTAAATTATAAGGCATCCTACCATTAACCCATATTCCAACTTTCTGGAGTTCCCTTTAAGGGTTTAGGGTTTGGACGTGCGGCAAAGAGGCTCCAAGGGCCTTAATATAGGCCTGAATAATTTGCGGCAGGGGTTCCTTTAAAGGGTTCTTATAAAGGGTCTATATGAGGGCTTTGTATAGGGGCCTTAACAAGAGGAATAGGGTTTCGGGGCCACTATACTATAATTCTTATGAGAAACCTCCAAAATTCTAGGTCATTAGTGAGGCCCCTATATTTGGGTCTTAGGATTAAGTACTTTGGGTTTAGGGCTTGTTGTTTAGGGCTCGGGGGTTTAGGGTTTGGGGTGACAGCAGCAAGAAAGCCCAGGCAGTCTAAGTTGAAGGCTCGACCATCTTGCACAAACTAAGGCGACCCACCCCTCCACAGCTTTGAAAGACAGCGGCTGCGGCCATTCAGCGTAGCAAAGCATGTGGAGGCATTTCGGTCCTACTAGCGGCACAGGGACAGACCCCTGACTGGCCAGTACCGTGCTTCAGATGGTGAATAATCTGATGAGTCACTGATGATAGTGATGGCTCTGTACAGCCCTAATACAGGGGCCTTAATCATTAGAATAGCGTTTGGGGGTATGTTATACTATCATCATAAGGAACCCCCACAGTGCGTTTTGATGATAGCAGTCCTGCATTACCCAGAATAAGGAAGATATCATAATTCCCATAGTTTCGTGTCCTTAAAGTAATGCAGGATTTATATCATCGACCGTGGTATTGGTAATCCTCTTGGCCCGTATAGCAAACCTGCTCCCGACAGTGCCAAGGCCGGGCAGGGGAGCTCCGCTTGGTGCCATGCTCATGTGGAGCGTCGCGATGCTGTGCAAGGCTTGGGCCTCATCTCTATGAGGCTGTTAGGGGTTTGGGGTTTAGGGGTTTAGGGTTGAGGCTTTCAGGAAGGACATCTTTTGGTTTGGAAAGCTTCAGAAAAGAGGGAAACCTGCAAAAAGGAACCCTACACCGTGGAGAATGTCTATGAGGCTGTCAGGAGAGTTTCTTCGAAGATCTTTTGGTTTTGGGCAATTGTCTTATGGTGTTTGAAGAAGTTTCTTCAACTTTTTAGAAAGGATCTTTTGAAGTTTTCTGAAACCTCTGAAGGGCGCCCGAAGGATTCTTAGGTCTTCTGACCTATTCTTGAGAGCAGGGCTCAATGTTGCTGTGTCCTCACCCTGCATCCAAATAGCCCGAAGGCCTTATATAGTATGGTCTGTAGGCCCAAGAGCCATAATGTGTGAGTCCTTACAGCCCTAGGGCCCTAGGGTTAGTGGATGGGACAATTTTTAGGGTTTAGGGCTTAAGGGGTTGTTGAGGGTGCTAGGAAAGGGTTCTTACAGGGGTCGAAAGCATGATTTCGTGCATGTACCTCCAAAGGTACTCTTAGAGACGTTCTATAGCATTGCTGGGTTGTGCTTTAAACCCTTTGAACATTATTTATGAATAGGTTCCCTTTATGAGGAAACAAAAGAAGTTAAAAGTTGTCCCAAAGCACAACCCAGATTGGATAAGAGTTCAGGGTTCAGGACTGTTCAGGGTCCTGGAGGTCTTTTAGGGTCGCCTACATGCTCTTCGAACGGGGCTTTCGTACTACGATTGAAAGCTTCAGGGAAGAGGGGAACCCGCCAAAAAGGAAGCCTAAACCCTAGAGACTAGGGTTTGGGACCCATTATACTAGAATTCGAACGTAAATATACGGGGCCTTCATAATTACCTATGCTTCTAGAATCCCCAAAACGCCAAAACGTAGCCTAAAGAATAGCATCCAAAAGCTTTCGGCCTTGTGGTGAGCAACGCTTCGGGTTGCACGCCCCTCTCAGCGTAGACGCTTCTTCCGACACGTTTAGGGTTGGGGGCATGAGGTCTAAGCTTAAAGTATAGGGATCGATATTATTCTCTCCAACTCAGGTAGCAGATTAGGGTCTAGGGTTTAGGGTTCAGGGTTGAGGATTCAAAGAAATAATCTTGGCTGCTGGCCGCACCCTTCTTGTCTCTGGCCTGATACTTCTGGGCCGCAAGGCAAAGCTTCGAGGCCGAGAACATCACAAGATACCCACCTTCTCCCTCACAAGGCGCTCCTTCCTTGCGGCCTAAGTCCATCGATGCGCACTGTCGCTCAACAACCAGCCTGTGGCACGTCATGCCACCGACATGGCAGGCAGTATGTAAGGATGCGGCATCAAGAGCGAGATCAAGGTCACCCATCTCCTGTATAGATTGGGCTTTGAAGGGTCACGGAGTCTCGATGACTCTGCCGAGTGACAACACGCGCCCATTTTCGGCTTGGCCGACGGTTCTAAGGTTTCTAGAGATACAGAGACGTGGCCTGACGCCAAGCAGCTCAGCAGTCTGAGCGGTGCAGAGCATAGCAGCTAAATCAGAATCTGCCGCCAGAGACCAACAACCTACTGTGCAGCAGAATCTGATGCTCGGGTTGAAAGACCCAAAAAAACACCTCGTCTCAGCCGAACAGGCCGCCTCATTGCAGGGTATCGTGCAGGGGCACTGCTTGCAGACTCGCCAAGGTTCAGTGTTAGTATTCGGATCCTGTAGCATATAGCCCTCATTTCGGGAAAGAAAGTCATGAGTCGCGGGTCTACATTTCGAAGGCGTAGAGACGAATAGCTGAGTCGAAGGCCGAACCAATCGTCTACAGCCTTGCAGAGAGCACGGCAGTCGTGGCTTAGGGTTCAGGGGTTTCAGGGTTCGGGGGTTATAGGGTTTGACAGTTCTAGCCTCTTGTAGCACGGAGTGCAGCAGTAGAAAGTTTCTACCTTCCTTTACTTGTGCACCTGCAAGCATCCACGAGAGCACTGGCACAAAAGCACGGAGCCCGAAGACTCCAAAACCCATTAATTCAGGAATATACCTTATGTCTTCTGAAAGCTCGTGCCATAGTGCAAGGCGTATCCCTGAATTAAGGGGCTTTTGAAATCTTTGGGAAGTTTTTCCACTTCGGCAGGAAAGCGCAGGCACTGCAAGCACCGATGCTGCCAGATTCAGTAACCCTAAACCCTAAACCCTAAATCCTGAACCCTGAAGCCTAAAACTGGCCCTAAACCCGACTTGCTGAGACGTGCGCCGTCACAACCTCGCTTCGACTTCGGGGCATTCGAGCCTCAGTTTCGCCCGCCCGAGGAACAGCCCCTTCTCCCCTATCGAGACATCTCTATATGGGTAGTTGTCAAAATTAAGGTCCCGTTTTGGGTACCCTATACATTAGGTGCCGTATTATATTAAGGACGCAAAAAGGGACCATAATTTTGACAGCCACCCATATGATCATGGGACTTAACACCCCAGGGTTAGAAAGAAGGTAACCATGCTCAAAGGACAATAGGTGTTTGCCCCTATGTTGTTTGAAACTAGCACAGAGATCCCAATGCCCCCCCCATATTGACTGATACACCTAGAATCATAATATTGAGCCCCTTGCAGTTTCAACAAGATACACTCCCAACCCTAAACTTTAAACCTCAAACCTCAAACCCTAAAGCCTAGGCCCTAAACCCAAAACCCCTAATTGGGCTCTCCCTGAGAAGGCTCTAAGGCGACCGCAGATGCCGTGGCCGTCGACTGCGACATGACTTCAGCCTGCGCCTCCTGCTCAGCCTGCAGTCTCACCACCTTGGCGACTCTAACTATCTGCCGATCTAGTTATCTATTCCGCACGTGTGAATGTGCGTGTATATGTATGTGTATATATGCATATAGATATAGAGAGAGAGACTATGTAGAAATATTCCATGTGGTCCATGTATGTATGTATGTATGCATGCATGCATGCATGTATGTACTTCTCTATGTACTGTATACAAAGAAGCATATACTTATACATACATTAATATCTGTATGTATCTATATATATATATATGTGTATGTGTATGTGTGTGCATTCTTTTAACTAAATATGTTTCCTTTAATGTATACCTATATTCACATAGAGAAAGAGTGAGAGAGAGAGAGAGAGAGAGAGAGAGAGAGAGAGAGAGAGAGACAGAGAGAGAGAGAGAGAGAGAAAAAAAAACGAGACAGAGAGAGAGAGGCGCGCGGGGCTCTCTAAGTCAGAGAAACTGCGAATGCCATGAAGGTCTGATGCCGCTGGGCCCGCCGCCCGTTCGGACTCCCACATAAGAAGGGGGCCCTCGCTCGCATCGTAAGAGGTCGCTTCGACCATCTCCTTCTCTTCCTTCTCGGTCCTAGCTCATGGTTGGGATAGGATCAAAAATGTACATTCTTAATATTATTTATTGTTATTACTATTTTTAATTATGATTATTTTATTATTATTACTAATATTATTGTTATTATTATTATTGGGTTTAAGTACCCATAAAGAAATCTAACATGTTACCCAACCACGACAAAGAGTCGACTCAGGCTCTTCTATCTCTGCCTGCGGATTTGCCAATCCTTCCGGCGGAGCCGCCGCCGTGGGAAGTTCCACGGCAGCCTTCACAAAGACTCCGCTGGGGGCGCATTGCTATGTGGGTGGTTGTCAGTCAAAATTAGGGTCCCTTTTTGGGTACCCTAAATATAAGGAGCCGTATTGCAATAGGAACCCAAAAAGGGACCCTAATTTTGACAACCACCCATGTGTGGCTAAGAGAGTAAAAGCGCACCTGCTTCGTCGACTGGTCTCCTTCCCGAGCCTGACCAAGGACCAATGCTAACTGTCATAGCTGTAGTAATCGTGACAAGAGCATGGGTAGTAATCAGAATCATTCTGCTAGCACTCTTTCGGCACACGGCGAGCTTGAGAATAACAGTAACAACGATAGGTGGAACGAGAGCGACATATGAGACCGCGGAGTCGTCACAGCCACAAGCACCTTGCCACTCTGAACACATCTTCGTCGTCATCATCAGCAAGGTCTTTATCATCATCATCATCATCATCAGAAACAGCACCATCAATCATGAGCAACACAGCATCAGCGAAAGTACTCGGTCTTGCGCATCTCTCGGCCTCAGGATCACGTAAGCTCGTTAGCATCGGCGCCAGATAATCTCCACGGCTGCTCGTCTTGCTGCGGGACCTTTGCGTGGCTCGGTGCCCTGAATTCACGAAAAAACCTAAACTGAACTCTGAAGAAACTGATGGGACGAGTTACTCTGGGAAAGAGATTCGGAGAGCTGCCGCCTTGGCCTCAGCTTTCACTGCCAGGCAAATGGCGAGCCTGCGTCTGCACTTCGATCCATTTCGCTGCTACGGCATAGGGTTGCGCGTTGCTGATCCCAGAGCGCTGTACAACGCGAGAAGCACCGGGATGGTACGGCCTAATATAGGGGCCTTAAGAATTAGAATAGGGTCTTGGTGCACATTATACTATAAGTATAACAAGGAACCCACCCAAAAAATAGTGGTAGTGTTTAATTCTACTTGCCGATCTAATACTGCATCTGAGCCCCGGGCAGCTAGGCTGGTGGGTGAAATCGATCCAGCATCGGCATAGCTCCTGGGCTAGGATACCCAGTAACCTAAGAATAAAAAGGCCTTTCTTTTGGGTATGGGGTAATTTTATAAGGAACCTAGGACTACAAAAAGGGAATGAGGGTACTACTGGGCATCCTAGCCACAGCGATTCGGGTTTGCGATATCCATCCCAACTGGTCTGATCCGTATCCTCATCACAACTGGCCTCTGTTTGCAGAACTCTCCAAACAGCTAAACCCCTAACCCCTAAACCCAAAACCCTAAACCCAGAGACCAGGCAGGTGCGACACCGAGCTTTCAGCCAAGGATCTGAAATGTGAATTCAGGCAGAGCCATGCTGGCACTACGAACCTCTGCTTAGCTGCTGAGTTCTTAAGCCCCCCCCAAAAAATGTACACTTTTAGTTTTATAGTGGGTAATACTATCCCAGTGTAAAGTGTATCCACTCAGCTACTAAGTCTGCATTTCCTGAACATCTGGAGCCGGAACTGCTCGACAAGCGCGTGACGGCAACAGTCAGAGCTCTCAACTTCGGGGTTTGAGGGCTTGTGGTAAAAGGAGATGAGACTCTCTGAATAAGGTCCCTTGTAAGGGAGCCGGAGGTAGTGCTAAGAAGGGTCCATGTCAAGGGGCCTCCCTAATACTACCTAGCAGGTATGTGGCGTAGCCAAAACAGTGGAGCGGAAGGAGCAGCTGTAGCGCGCCTGGTGGAAGATGCTCAGAACTCGAAGGCACTCGGCCTGACCCATGCTAGTGGCAGTTGCTCAATCCAGTTTAGCGCTCAGGGGATTTAGGATTTTTCGGGTTTGGGGGTTACCCTAAACCCTAAACTTCGGAAAATAGGGGACCCTAATATGGCACCCTAAATAGTAGGATCCTTATTACAAGGACCCCAAAATAAGGTACCCCCCCGCCCCCCCCCCCCAATTTTCGGAAACCCCCATGTGCCCGTGTAAGGCTCTGAAGGATCCCTGGGCCTGCCTGTGCTTCGCGGAGACATGGGTTCAGAAGTTCCACGTCATCCTGAAGCCTAAACCCTACACGCCTGAACCCCTTAAAACCCTAAACCGCCCAAACCTAAGCCCTGAATTCTCTTAGTTGTCACATCAAGCCTTCTTTGCAACTCTAGTGCCCAATATGAGGGTCTGAGACACCTTCGGTCTGCTTTCAGTATGTAGGAACTATGAGGGCATCCTGCAGTACTGCTGCCTACTTATGTCTTGGTGGAGTTCTTCCTGCCCACTACGAGGGAAAGCGGAAAGTCTCCGGGTTGAAGATCAACACCCCACACAGGCCCCGAACCATATGCCCTGAACCCTAAACCCTAAACTCTGAACCCTAAACCCTAAACCCTGAACCCCTAACCCCTAAGCCCTAAACCCTTATCCCCGAACCCTAAACCCTAAACCCTAAACCCCAAACCCTAAACCCCAAACCCTGAACCCTAAACCCCTGAGCCCGAAAGTCTCCTTCCTAAGAACTGGACCCGAAACACTTCCGAGCCGGGAGCCCTGAACCACAATCTTCGAGCCCGGGCAGGGCTTTTCTTGGGTCTCTTCTACAGCACGTATAAGAAGGATTAGGGTTTAGGGTTTAGGAACCCTTAAGTATAAGAAGGCCTAGGGTTTAGGGTTTACAGGGTTTAGGAACCCTTAAGAACACATATTGGTAACTAATTTGTGTAGTTTTTTACAGGTTCTACCTACATTAAACCCGAAAGCCTGGAGCCGGGATCCTACTTAAAGGATCATGGGACTTAGTAACTAGGGTTGTAATTAAGGTGACTATACTTATGACTCCAATTAGGGGACTTATAACCCCACTTACTAAGTCCCCTGATCCTGAAAGTAGACCCAGACCCAGCAGCCCGTCCCTCGCGGCCTCTGCACCCCGGTTGCTCTCGTTCTGCGAGGAAGCCATCCCCTGACCGCAATACGTGGGAGTTTTTCAAAAACAAGGGGTACCTTATTTTGGGTCCTTATAATAAGGATCCTACGATTTCGGGTACTATATCAGGGTCCCCTATTTTCGGAAACTCCCATGTGAGGCTTTACATAGGGTAGCTTAGGGCTTCGGGCCGCAGTATGGGGGCTTCTTTTACAAATTTGCGGGCGCAAGAAGGCTTTGCTATACTTGAAGGCTCATGGGACTTAGTAAGTCAGGTTATAAGTAGGTTATAATGAGGATAACCCCACTTAGGGGACTTATAACCCCAATTATAACCTACTTACTAAGTCCCATGATCCTCTACGTATGGGCTCCGAAAGGATTGCATGAGGGTTTCTATAAATTTAAAGGGTCGCTTAGGTCGGCCTTTTTTTTAGCACACCGATATTTAAGACCTCTTGTCCCAGACCTGCCATGGCCCTAAACTCCAAGCCCTGAACGTGACAAAACCGCTCCATTGGCCATGCAGCCCGTACGGTTGATGATAAGAATCCTGCATTAGCTTAAGGACCCTAAACTATGGGAATTATGGTATATTCCTTATTATGGGTAATGCAGGATTCATATCATCAACCGTAGCATCGGACGCCATTTTCCGGGAACGATGCGCCACTTAATGGAAGCGGGTTCCCAGAGACTCCGAAACACCGAGAATAGGCAATATAATCCCAAAGCCTTTAAGGCACGGGGTGATACTGAAGATGATCTGCGAGCATATTATGTTCCTTCATCTATGGGGAATTTTGGAGTCTCTGGGGTTCTTTGGCTCCTTAAACAGTTCGTCCCAAAACCGAAACGGTCGAACAGAGAGCCTGCAAAGGCTTCACCGGAACCCTATGACATGCTATGAGCGTCAACCTCTAAACCCTAAACCCTTGGAGGTTTAGGGGCCGCTGAACCCAAAATGCCTACATAACTTTAACCCTGCGCCCTAAGGGATTCTAAACCCTAAAACCCAATGGGCTCACTACAGTGGCTTATGCTCTGACATCTGCAGAGTCCGGGCTCGGGCCCGGAGTACCTTCTTCAGCCATCTTCATCGACCTTAAAATCGAGGCAGGTCAATATACCATAGAACCGGCCATGAGAAGCACACAACCGTTTAAGAGCAACTTATATACACATATCTATCTACATATATATATATATAGATATGTAGAAGGAACCCTAAATCCTAATTACACCCCAAACCCAATGCTCTGAAGTGCTAGAGCTCCGACGTCGAATCTCAAGCTGAGAGGCTCTTCCATGGCTGCACCTCACGTGAGCCGACTCGAGGTGAACGCGACTCGATGTGTGGTCCACAGAATCTATGCCAGGGGTTAGGGATTTAGGGGTTTAGGGTTCAAGGGTTTAGGGCTAGGGTTTAGGGTTTCGGGGTTTGTTGCTCGACGCTCGTACCATCGGCCAAGATGCCAAAGTTTCTCAGCTTCTTGGCTTCCTCCGGATTTCGAGGAATCCCCAACAAACCTTCCGGCAAGGAGGCAGGCATTTCATTGCAAACAGAAGCCCAGGGAGGCCCAATGGGCCTTAGCAAAGGAATCTACCTTGACTTCTAGGGGACATACTATTGTGATTTAAGCTCTGTTCCTTCATCAAGGACCCCATAAAAACCCTTTCCAGGCCCATATAACACCCAATAAGGCCCGTAGAGAGTCTGTTCCTTAAAGGGGTATTGCGCTCTCTGGGGACCTGCCTCCATCGAAGATGTCGGCCATGTGGGCAAAAGCTTTCCTCGGGCCAAAGGCTTTATATGGTTCCCGTAAGGGTTCCTTTGGGGGTTTAGGGTTCGTTTCAGGGTACTTTAAGCGTACTTAAGGGATTCTGTCTGGTTTTTCTTCAGCAGGGGTTTAGGGTTGAAAAACAGGGGGAGGGTGATAGCCCCATTTATATTCGGGGCCAGAGAGGTTATCACTACTTAAAGGATCATGGGACTTTGAAACTAGAGTTATAAATAAGGTAAGCATACTTGTAGCCCCAATAGGGGTACTTATAACCTTACTTACTAAGTCCCCTGACCCTCCAAGTACCCTTTGTACTATACGCCTTTGTGTTTCTCGAGCGCTCTGACAGAGCCACCCTTACCTCTCAAATCCCTGGGCGAGCTTCACACTCTTCTTCAACGCTGCTTTGCGGAAGTATTCCACGGCCCCAGGGTCACCGAGGGACTGCAGGTGGATACCAAGATCAAGCATTGCCTCGCAGGGTTTGGGGCACGGAGGTTCAAGCTTCCGCCTAGCACTTTCTCGTAGGAAAAACCCTTGACTCCTAAACCCTACAGCCCGAAAATCCTAAACCCCGACACCCCTAAGCCCCCCACACCCCTAATTCCTAAACCCCTGAGACCCTGAAGTGTTAAGGACAAACCGAAGTCGCGAGGGACAAGTTGTCACGTTTAGTTTAGGGCCCCGAAAAAGCACATAAGCACAAATTAGGATAGGGATATCCCATATAAACCCCCTTATAACGAAGCCCAATGAGGTAGGGATATCACCATAAAAATGCTTATGCTTCTGTGCTTTTTGGGCCCCTAAGCGTTGCGCCTCAGTGTCGCCTCGCAGAGCGCCAAGAAGCAATGCCTGAGAAATCATGGGTTGCCCGAAGCGTGACTGCCAGGCTCTGGTAGAAGGTAGTCTACTCTTATATGTGTATGTATAGGCTTTGGCATAATGTAGTATACTCTTACCTGTGTATGTATGTATATATATATATACATATATATATATGTAGTAATATCTGTTATTTGCTTGCTTATATATTCATACAGAGATGTACTGTAAGGATTTCTATACGGGCTACTACAAGGATTAGGTAAAGTTACGTACGGATTACTGTAAAGTATACGATAAGGTGACTGAAATGTATACTGCGATTAGGCTTTGTTCTTCAGACTCATACATAACAAGGGTAACATGATCCGCACGAGAATCCCTAAATCCTCAGCCCCGCCTGTAGTATCCATTGTAGTTCGGTTTTTTGGTTAACCAAAATCAATATTACAGGATCCTAACCATAAGACTGTTTAACCAGAAAAAGGAACAACAATGAAGACTTTAGGTAGGCCCGAAACCCTAAACCCTAAACCCCTGAACCCTAAACCCCAAACCCTAAGCCCTAAGCCCGAAACCCCTGAACCCTAAACTCCAAAACCCTAAGCCCTAAGCCCTAAGCCCTAAACCCCTGAACCCTAAACTCCAAAACCCTAAGCCCTAAGCCCGAAACCCCTAAACCCTAACCCCTCTGGACTCCCGGCCTTTCGTACTGGATCTGGAGAAAGCTCCAAGCTGGGACCGGAGTCAAACTCGTGCAGATGGTGCTCCTTTTACTCAAAGGGGAAAAGGAGGGACCCTTAATGGGGACCCCTACCCTATAATGGGCTATATAATGGGTGTATCATAGCTATATTAAGGGTATATACCTAGGGGTCCTTATTAAGGGTCCCTCGTTTTACCCTTGGATTTACTGTCTGGCGCTGAGCAGGGAAGGGGGGTATGGATCCCTTTAGTAGTCTCTATATAATCCCCAATAATAGTCTCCATAATCCACTCCCCCATTCCCTACTAAGAACCAGACAGCTTAGGCTTTGGTACGGTTTAAGGTTTAAGGGCGAGGGTCTGCAGGTTTTGGGGTTTGGGCTTCTAGCTCCTGATATGAAGGTTTTAAGATTCCTTTCAAGCTCCTTTAAGGCAGTTTAGGGTTTAGGGTTTAGGGTTTAGGGTATCAAGAAGGGTTTAGTGTTCAGGATAAGCTTGGGGCTCGGGGGTCCAGGCTTGGGCTTAGGGCTGAGGGTTTAGTTTGCATTGAGTGCTACAGGCTACAGGGTTTGGTCTTTAGAGCCTTGGGTAAGGAAGCAAGTCTTCTCCGCACCACCACCATACTGTTGATGGCATTGCCCATAACAAGGAATATACCATAATTCCCATAGTTTAGGGTCCTTAAGGTAATTCAGGATTTATATCATCAACAGTACCAGAACCAGAAGAACCTGCACTTTGCATACATCTACCGCAGGCTGCTGTCCTCCAGCAAATCCTCGCGCAAGGAGAAAGACGACCTCAGTTGAAGCATGAGTTTGTTGACATGTAATGTAGGTGGTTGTCAAAATTAGAGTCTCTTTTTGCTTCCTTAGTATAATATGGCACCTGTTATTTAGGGTACCCAAAAAGGGACCCTAATTTTGACAACCACTCATGTGATGTAGAGGGTTGGGGAATCAGGGTTTAGGGTCTTTATGACTACGCACCCCTCCCCAAGTCTTATCACTACCACAATTTATCCGCAATGATTGAGTTGTAGCAGTCGTCGTCAGGCGGAGTATGTTTCTGCATGGCCAGGCGGATCACCCGATTCCAATTAATGGGGGCAAAGCGTGTGGTCTTGCATGATTCTGATCATTCGCACCCGCCGTGCTTGGGTTCAATATTAAGATTCGGGGTCTGAGGGGGGAAGAAACCTCTCTGCAGAAATCATTGCAGGAATTTCCACATCCACAACTGCAGTTGGGGGAGGAACCGCAGCCGTCGCATGTAAAAGAGAAGCGGGGGTGATGCGAGGGCCTCTGCATTGCAGAACCTTTCTATGCATGATGAAAGAAGTCGCACTGACCCAAAGGGTCCACGTAATAGTATAGTAGTATAGTATAATTATACTTTTGGGGCCCAAGTATGTACCAAGTACCTACTACTTGAAGGCTCATGGGACTTAGTAAGTAAGGTTATAAGTAGGTTATAATTAGGATAACCCCACTTAGGGGACGTATAACCCCAATTATAACCTACTTATTATTAAGTCCCATGATCCTCTAAGTAGATTGGTGCTTGGATTTTTTGGGTAAGAGATCCAGTCCCAAGGCCCTCACCTCTGGGGGGAGAGGGGAGGAGGAACACGTGGGGTTCAGCGATTTAACTGGGGTTTCGGGGATGAAGACTTAAGACTCCTCGTAGGATTGGGATGATGAGGATGTATGAGGTGGACGTCTACCGCAATTCTGGACTACCATGCCGCCAGGAGGGAACCGGATACTGCCACTGCAACCCTGTGACTGTAGCACCAGTGTAACCCCTAAGCGACCCACATAAAGACGCCGATACTTACAGTTCCAGTTTCAGTTCTGGTTGCCCCTGTTTCGACGCCGATAGCGACAGACCAACCCTTCCAGTAACCCGAAAAGGCCCGCTATAGTATCCCTACTAATCGCCTCTTAGAGTAACCTTTATAGTAGCCCCCGTGGTGTCTTTTGACAATGCCTGTAGGCCGAGTGTCCTGTCGGGCGTGTTCCCAGGTGTCTGAAAGGTCACCTCGCAGTTCGGAAGACTTCACGACTTAGGGGTACCTTCTGTAGCGGGGTTTTAGCAGACAGATCCTGCTGCTTCTGCCGAAAAGGGCCTCAACATTTAAATGGTCGCGCATCTCAATCATAGGAAAAGAAGCACAGCTGGGGCAAGGAACAACCAAGTCACATAGAATAGCCTGCGTCTGCCGCCACCCATGGCATCCGGTAGGTTGGGACCGCCGCAGTGCAGCAGATTCGAGTTCCTGGGCTCTGGATTTAGTTTGAGTTGCCCTGGTAAGGAAATCACTTATGTTACTAGAGATCCCTCTTGAATTCTGGCGACTTAAACCCAAATACCCTAGATCCCAAACCCTAAAACCCAAACTTGGTAACTGAAAATAAAATCCCTAACGTTGAACAGGAACCCAAGCAATATTTTGTGGGTTCCTGATTATAGTTATGGTATACTGGGCCACAAAACCCTACCTAAATCGCTTATAGTAATCAGTAATCCTTACATAGGTTCCTGCAAAAGGAACCCTTTATAAAAGGAACCCCCTTAAACTGAACCCAGGTTCATAACGATGGCTGTGCCCGCTGCAGAGACTGCTGGCAGGCCTGGCCAAGGATTCACGTTTGGCCGTGGCACATGGGTTCTAAATTAAGGTCCCTTCTTACGATTTTTAAAAAAAGGGATCTACAAGGGTTTCTATAAGGGTACTATAAGGGTAGCTCTGTGACCCAGCAATTGATATAGTCTGCTCTGATCGAATTTGCTATGATATACATAGTTTGATATGCAAAAATTGAGTATAGTGTAGTCTAACCCAAGTAGAAACATGCTGACTGAAGCTTTGTCTATGCTGCCAAGCCGCCACCGTGCTTCTTGACAACTACGTCTTGAGGCATGAAAACTTGCTCGCATTTGAAGAGTGACAGGTGCGACTCGAGGTTGTGCGTACCTCGGATCCCTGAAATCAAGAAAAAGGGATACTGTCAGGGATAGCGTTAGGGTTGCAATGAGGTTGCGATCAGGGTTACTACAAGGACTAGCATAAGTCTATGCAGTTGGGGAGCCTTGGCATAGAATCGTGGGCCCCATCGCAGCCCGCGTCTCTTGCAAAGGCACGAAAACAGTGACAGATGGCGCGCAGGCGCTACCTGGCCAAGGGTTTAGGGCATACTTGGAGGATCAGGGCACTTCTGAAGTAAGGTTCTAAGTACCCTGATTAGTTACATACTTACCTTATTTATAACCCAAGTTACTAAGTCGCACGATCCTTCAAGTAGGGTTATCACTCCCCAGAAACAGCCGGCTGGACTCCACCCTCTTTAGGGACCCCAAAAAGCACATAAGCACAAGCATTTTATAGGGATATCCCTACCTTATTGGGCTTCATTAAAAGGGGGTTTATATGGGATATCCCTATCCTTATCTTTGCTTATGTGCTTTTTTTGGGCCCTACTCTTGCCTATTCGAAGTGTATCCGCATGGAGCGGCTGCTGCTTGGCACCTTGGCGCGAGATGCAGGTTACGAACAGTGCTATATATATGGGTGGTGGTCAAACTTAGGGTCCCTCTTTGGGTCCCTATTATAAGACGGCACCTATTATTTAGGGTAGCCAAAAGGGGAACACGCAACTATATGGTTTATCATGTAGGTAGCTATTTGGGAGAGTTTTTGAAAAAATCTTGTACTTGGACCCTTAGGGTCTTTTTTCAAGGAGCCCGGATCAATCCTAAACCCTAAACCCCTAAACCCTAAACCCTAACCCCTAAACCCTAACCCCTAACCCCTAAACCCTAACCCCTAACCCCTAAACCCTCAACCCTAAATACCCCTAAACCCTAACCCTCTGACTTTTCTTCAGGAGCCTGGATCACTAACCACGCAAGCCAGCTCGGCGAGGACGGCCTCCCTGGAGACCAGATCTTCCAGCAGACTGCCCATGGAGGACACCTCAAGTGGCGTTGGGTTTTTAAGGGTTTGGGGTTTATTGGGTTTTTGGGGGTTTTGGGTTTTGGGGTCTATTGGTTTTTAGGGGTTTGGGGTTTAGGGTTTTGGGGTTTATTTGATTTTAGGGGTTTGGGGTTTAGGGTTTTGGGTTTTTTTATTTTTTTTTAGGGGTTTGGGGTTTAGGGTTTTAGGGTTTATTGTTTTTTTGGGGGGGTTTGGGGTTTAGGGTTTTGGGGTTTAGGGCTTGGGGCTTTTGATTTGAGCTGTGAGGGATCAGGTCTTGGGTTTACAGTAGAAGCCAGAAAGTTGGAACATGGTTTTGGGAGCATTAGTGCTAGGATCTCTTATACTTTGCCTATTATAGATCCCTTAAAGGAAGCCCTTAAAGGCACCCTTATAGATATCATTATCGTAACCCCTTTAAGGTAAATTATAGGGGATCCTACCATTAATCCATATTCCAACTTTCTGGAGTTCCCTGTAAGGGCAATGGGAGGACACCGTTTCTTTGAGCTGCGGATTGACATCACTTAGAAACTGTACAAGGTGCAGACCTAGAGTGCAATTGGCTGATTGCGAGCTTTCCTTACCTTTAGTTAGTAGGGAACGGAAGAATGGTATAATAGCAGTCAGAAGTATACCCCATTCCTCCATTCCCTACTAACCAAAGGTAAGTACAGTAGAACCCTTATAGAAACCCTTATAGCAACCCTTAAAGGAACCCTATTCCCTACAAGGCCTTGGGATTTTCGGGTCTAGGGTTTCTGCAACCATGGTGCAAGTTGCTCTACAGCATTGCGGACATCCGCAGACAAGGGAAGCTTCACATCCCAGCGATAGTCCTCTCCATGCACCTGTCGAGATGCTGAAGCTACTGTAGCCGAAAAGACCTACCGTTCAATAACGATATATATATATATATATATATATATATAGAAACCCAAAATAAGGACACCTAAAACGTTAGGTCTTGTCGGCTACAGGTAAGGGTTCCCAGAGGATCTATATATATATATATATATATATATATATATATAGAGCACCATTATGGAATTAGGTCCCCCAAGCCATAATATGGAGGGTCTTTTGGGACCTAATTCCACAATGGTACTGTATATGGAGCCTCTAGGGTTACTATCGAAACTACCCTTCGGAATTATATGTTTTTTTCACGACAGCTGGCTACTGCTAATATCAGGTTGTCGTAAGGCTGTAAGGCTTCCATAGTCGTTGAGCTACCATTACTGAGTATGGTTACCACAAAGGTCTAGTAGAAAGTGACATGTTGGGTATGCCCTCACTTTGTCAGCGTTGGATGATAATGGAATACACTTACACGTAGCCAAGTTTATGATCCCTAATGTAGACTGTTACGCTCTCACGGGGTGGGATCAGTAACCAAGGCTTGCCATAAAGGGTTACTAGCAAGGGTTACTCTTCAGGGTAGCACAATCATAGGGACCCTTAGGGGGGTGGGGGGAGGGGGTGGGCCTTAATACCCATATTAAGGACTTAATAAGAAGTATAGTCCCCTAACCCCCCCCCACCCTTGGGTCCCTATAATAGACCCTTAATAAGGACTTAATAAGAAGTATAGTCCCCTCCCCCCATTTTCCCCCTACCCCCCTTAAGAGGGTCCCTATAACAGAAAGGTCCTCGAACAGCAATGCAAACCAGCACCGGGCTGAGGAGCGCACGGAACCCAACTCCTGGGATGGCCAGAAGAACCCAGAGACTCCCAAACCCCTCAATTATGGAATGTGCCTTGAATTATAGTTTAGGGTTTAGGGTTTAGGGGATAATATGATTCCTAATACGATTTAAGGTATATTCCTTAAGTACGGGGTTTTGGAGCCTCTGGGAAGCCACAGAGCCCCACCCCCGCACTGCAGTCTGTAAAGTATGCTATGGTGTACCATGTTTTAACATGTTGTAAGATGCTAGATCATGTTTTGCTAAGCAAACCACGTCATACTATCTACTTTGTGCCATTTTCATGCTCTATTATACTGTATTGCACTATACTATATAGCATGACGGTATATTCTACTGTGTACCGCAACAGAATACAACATAAACTGTATAAAAAAAATGTAATGAAATGAACTACAACGTAAAACATGCAAACTACGCACGTGACGATGTAGTATCTAAAAATGTAGTATGTATGTATGTATGCATGCATGTGTGCATATGTGTATATATATATATATATATATATCATAGCATAGTATGCTATGACAAACCGCATTACATGAGATGATCTGATCTTATATCGCTATGAGAAAACATAGTATATAACCATGACAGGTTTCGGTTCATGGTTTTGGGGCCTGGGTCGCTACATGATAGCAATATCAGTGTAACAAGGTCACCTATACCGATCACTACGGGATAGAGTTAGAGTCAGTTAGAGTTTAGTTTCATGATTCGGCTTCAGGGTTTGGGGATTAGGGAAATTTGGGCTTAGTTGCATAGCCCTTCTGCCCAAACAGTGAGGCAACACTGCGGGGTCAGTCAAGAGAATCGGTTGAGTCAGGTGCATGCAGCGCTGAACTCCTCCCGTCCCGCTCAGTATCTGGGGATGAAGCATATTGTCAGTGTCCTCGCGCTCTCCTGGTGGTCTCTCGGTGGTCTCTTGGTGGTCTCCTCGTTGTCTCTTGGCGGTCTCTTCGCCTGTGTCGCGGTCATCACTTGCTGGTCTCTCGCTGGTCTCCTGGTGGTCTCCTGGTCCTGGTCTTGGTGGTCGTCCTGGTCTCAGTGCTCGTCGTTGATAACATGGCGCAAACGCCGGGAAAGCGCAGATGGCAACTAGTTGCGACCTCTGTTTCTCAACGATCAAGGCCGGTTCGCATGTCAGTAATCGTGACTTTCTGGTCCTATTTGCATGCTTCTGGTATGGTCCTTCACTGCTTGGGGAATATCCGCTGGCATAGTCGTCTGCCCCGATAGTAACCTCAACAGCAATCCCACTAGTATTTATTGGTACACTTAATGGTAACCCTGATATCCCAAAGTACTGTTGATGATAAAAATCCTGCATTACCCATAATAAGGAATATACCCTTATTCCCATAGTTTAGGGCCCTTAAGGTAAGGCAGGATTTATATCATCAACCGTACGTCGCAATCCAAAGCGCTTCTTGTCTCACTCGATCCCTGGCGGCTTCGTCGGGTGCATCACGCAGCTTCTGCTGCACTTCCTCGAGGAGTGCATCGATCAGACCCTTAGCTGCAGAGAGGCTTTTGAATTCGCCGACACATGGGGCCTTGAATAAGTGGAATAGGGTTCGGCTTAGGGGGACATAACTTTACCGGAACCATAAGCCTATACTAACAGTACTACAGTAGTTATTCCGACCCCTACAGTAGATGCCGCAGAGCACAAGCAATGCACGACACCAGGTTGGGAAAGAATGCAGACGAGATGCAGACAGCTGAGCGCACGAAAGGCTCGGCAGTGCATTCGGAACCATGCAGCATCCTGACAGTGCAAGGTTTGGGGGGTTAAAACCCTCAACCCAAAGCACTTCAAGGACAAGCCCCCGAACGGTTGATGATAAACATCCTGCATTACCCATAATAAGGAATATACCATTACTCCCAGAGTTTAGGGTCCGTAAGGTAATGCAGGATTTATATCATCAACAGAAGTAACATACTGGAGCTGGTTCAGCCAGATCAATCGTGATTCTACTTAGAGGATCATGGGACTTAGTATGTAGGTTATAATTGGGGTTATAAGTCCCCTAAGTGGGGTTATCCTAATTATAACCTACTTATAACCTTACTTACTAAGTCCCATGAGCCTTCAAGCAATCGTCATTCTACAGCAATGCATAGTGGGCACCTCGCTCGACAACGAGGGAGGTGCACTTCAGGGTGCTTCGCTTCAGCTCCTGGCAATGCTCCACAGGTTGTCCTCTCGACCAATAAGCCCTGGACCCTAAACCCCAAACCCTCATGCCCCAAACCCTAAATTCTAAAATCCCTAAACCCTAAACCCCAAACCCGAAAAAACCGACAGGCGTAGCTCGTAAAGTACCCAAACGGATCCGGATCCACCGCAAATGTCCTCGGGCTCGAAGGATGCAAAGTCTGGAACCTTAGCGTCCGGCTTAAAAAACTTAAAAACATGGTGACAAAGCTTGGCAGTACATAGGGTTTAGGGTTTAGGGATTTAGGGTTTAGGGTGGTTCTGAACGCCCTTTCAACGTAATGATATGGACAAAGACTGTAACAAGCATGACCAACTTACCGCAAAACAGTAATCCTGCTGCCACTGCTCCTGCTGCTTCCCTTCCTGCTCTTACTCCTACTTCCCATCCTACTCCTGCTCCTACCCTACTGCTACTACTCCTGCTACTCCCATTGCCACTACCACAACCACTACCACTACTCCTGCTCCTACTCCTACTCCTACTCCTACTCCTACTCCTACGCCTACTCCTACTCCTACTCCTACTCCTACTCCTACTCCTACTCCTACTCCTACTACTACTACTACTACTGCTACTACTCCTACTACTACTACTACTACTGCTACTACTACTACTACTACTCCTACTCCTACTCCTACTCCTACTCCTACTCCTACTCCTACTGCTACTGCTGCTCCTGCTCCTGCTCCTGCTACTGCTACTGCTACCACCGGTACCAGTACCAGTACCATTACCGTTGCCACTAGCATTACCACTACCAGTGCCACTGCCACCATCACTGCCACTACCACTATCACTCGACTACGAGTAAACTAGGACTACGACTGCAACTGCTAATAATTGCTACTACGCCTACTCCTACTCCTACTCCTACTCCGACTGCTACTGCTACTGCTGCTGCTACTGCTACTGCTGCTGCAGCTGCTTCCACTCCTACTGGTACTGCTACTGCTACTCCTACTCCTACTCCTACTGCTACTGCTACTGTTACTGCTACTACTACTACTACTACTACTACTACTACTGCTGCTGCTACTACTACTACTACTACTGCTACTGCTACTGCTACTACTACTACTACTACTACTACTACTACTACTACTACTACTACTACTACTACTACTACGACTATTACAACTACTCCTACCACTACTTCTACGACGACGACTACGAACCATTACTTCCTCCAGTACTATCACCGTTATACCACCGTGCCGCCACCGGTGCCACCAACACCACCACCCAACTAATATTAAGTGTATTATCATCTCACAAGGACGATGGTAACTCCAATTCGTCATCATGTTACACTCCTCCCACTAATACCAACAGTGGCAACGCGAAAACTACAACCTCTGTGAACGAAACGGTTGCGCCAAAGCAGAATACGCATGTGATTGCGCAATTTCATGCCTTCAAAAATTAAAGTGTATGTCCCCTGTTGCCGGTGGCCCTGCAGATGGTGTCGAGCCCCGGTTCAATTGTACCGGGACAAACCGGTAATGGGAGATTGAAGGCAAGCTAAACAGCCCTGGCGGGGCGCAAATCCTTCGCCAGAAAACCCCATCACACTGATTGGTTTTTGACTTTCCGCACGAGACACCACAAACAAGTCACAACAAGGACGGTGCTTGAAGTAAGGGTCGTAGTTATCTGCATCATGACTAAATCCCAAACCATACAATCCCACCACCCTGCAACCCCCTAAACCCCTAAACCCTAAACCCCTAAACCCTAAACCCCTAACCCTAAACCCTAAACCCCTAAACCCTAAACCCAAAACTCAAAACCCCCAAAGCCCCAACATCCTAAACCCCCGCAACAAAAAAGCAAGTCTGAAGCCCCAAACCTCCATATTTTCGGGCCCTTAAAGGAGCACTGACACCACCCGAAACCTTAAACTCGAAACCCCTAAACCCTAAACCCTAAACCCCTAAGTCCTAAACCCTAACCCCTCAACCCTAAACCCCTAAACCCGCAACCCTAAACCCTTTATTTATTGCTCACGGAGCGGCTGGGTTCTCTTCGACTCCAAATCGCCCGACTGCCAAAGCCCCTCCTCTTGGCCCAGGAGGCCCAAATTATGGTTCAGGTTTTTTTTTGGAGCTCCTTTTCTCCAAGCCAGCAGGTTCGAAGAGGCTGTAAAGCCAGGACAACACTATGGTTCAGGGTTTAGCGGTTAGGGTTTAGGACTTACGGGTTAGGGTTTTGGGTTTAGGGGTTGGGGTTTTAAAACCTAAACCCTTAAAGCCTTGTTTAGGGTTTAGGGGTTAGGCGTCAGGGCTTAGGGTTTACGGTTGCAGGGTTTAGGGTTCGGGGTTGAGGGATTGGGGTTTGCGGGGCTTCGGGTTGAGTGCCTTCTTGTCCCTCAAATAGCCCGGTATGGTAGCCCTCACAGGCCCCTTTAAAGGAACCTTGTAAAGGAACTATTTAGGCCCCCTACTTAAAGGATCATGGGACTTAGTAGCTACGGTTATGAATAAGGTAACTATACTTATAGCTCCAATTAGGGGACTTATAACCCCACTTACTAAGTGCCCTGATCCTCCAAGCAGTACCCTAAACCCTAAACTCTAGATCCCTTGAAGGAACCCTATAGATCACTTTCAGCAACCCCAAAGATCCTTGTAAAGAACCCTTACTAAGTCCCCTGATCCTCCAAGTATCCCTAAAGATCCCTTATAGTACCCTTTAAACATAACCCTAAACCCTAAACCCTTACAGATCCCTTCAAAGGACCCTTATAAGAACCCTTGAAGGAACCCCTAAACCCTATAGATCCCTAATACTATACCCCTCAAAGGAACCCTTATAGATCCCTTTAAGGAGCCCTAGGAGACCCTTAAAGGAACCCTTACAGACCTGCGAAGGTTTCCAAAGCCCCTCCTCTTGGCCCTGGGGTGCCCGAAGGCTCCTTTGGTCCACCGCGGCCAGGTCCTTCTATGCCTTTCTGGCCCGTGAAGCCTTCCGTTTAAGGGTTGGGGTTTAGGGTTTGGGGGTGTAGCGTTAGGGGGTTTAGGGCTAAGCTGTGGCTGACTGATCCCACGTGCTGCGGGGCACGGAACACATTGCAGATACAGATACAGATACAGGGGTTATAGGGTTCAGGGATAGCCGTAAAGCGACGAGGAAGCTCTTTGAACCAAAACTGCCCTGAAACCTAAACCTTCATCCTTACTCTCCAAACCCTAAACCTCCATCCCTAAAGCCCTGCACCTCAATCCCTCACGCCCTGAACCTCAAATCCCTAAACCCTAAACCTCGATCCTAAATCCCCAACAATCTGCAGCCGAAGTGCTTGCGATCCAGTTGCTCTTGCCCAGTCCACCCTTCAGACCAGGACCGATCTGACCCTTTCCTTTGCCTTTCCCTTTCTTCAGAAAGCCTCCAGGTTGAGGGTGTAGGATGGTTTAGGGGTTTAAGGTTTAAGGTTCAGGGATTTAATGGTTTAAGGGCTTAAGGATTTAAGGCCAGGGGTTTGGGGTTTAGGGATTCAGGGGTCGAGTGCTTGAGGGGTGTAATGATTTAGGGGTTTAGGGCTTCAGAAGGGTGTCTCAGGGTGTAGGGTGCCCACTTCGCTCGCATCCAACGCCCCGGTCCTGGTGGTGGTGGGAGGTCTGGGAGAGTTTCTGGATCTTCCACCAGCTTCCACCTTAAAGGACGTATATAGGGGGTTCGTAGGGGGTTCTATGCTACTGTAGTAGGGCTCCCATGTAAGGGTATGATGGGGTTTTAGACTAGGGTCCTCCTTTTACAGGGCTCTCACCGCTATGCTGGGGGATGCTGCATTTCTGCTGACACCCTGAGAAAGCATGAGCTTTTTCAGAGAGTAAGGCACGGTCACATGAGCATAGTTTGGCATCCTAGGCTACTTGAAGGCTCATGGGACTTGGTAAGTAAGGTTATAAGTAGGTTATAATTAGGATAACCCCACTTAGGGGACTTATAACCCCAGTTATGACCTACTTACTAAGTCCCATGATCCTCTAAGTAGTGTTTCGTTACAACGACCCCAAGCTACAAAACCCCTAGTTGCTCCGCACTCTCCACATTCTGGAGAGAAGAGATGCCTAAATCCTAAACCCCTAAACCCCAAACCCCTAAACCTTGGATACTGCCCCCATACAGTAACAGTCCATAATAGGGCTACTATTAAGGGCCTGATATATCTATATTATGAATATTATCCAACTGTTACTGAGTGGGGGCAGTATCCAACCTAAACCCTAAACCCCTCAACCCTAAACCCTCAGCCCTTAAAACCTAAACCCTTAAACCCCTACACCCGAAACCCTCAGCCCTTAAAACCCCTCCTTGCGCCAGGCCGCGGCGCCAGAGGCTTCCCGCCCTCCAGAGCGGCAAGGCCTCAAAGACTCAAGGGATCCCCCAGAGACTCCAGGGGTCTCCGGGTTCCTTTAAAGGGATCTATAAGGGTTCCTTATTAAGGGGAAAGGATCTATAGGGTTTAGGGTTCAGGCGACTCCAACATCCCCTAATTAAGCACTAGACCTTAAATCATATTAGGGATACTATTATAGTTTAAGGTATATTCCTTAATTGAGGGACATTGGACCATACAGGGGAAACATGAGGATTATATAGGGGTCATATTGGGACTATATAGAGAGTATCTAAAGATATTATAGGGGTATGTTGGGAGTATAGAGAGGTTGTAGACGTCGTGACTTCACTGGCCGCTTCACAAAGAAACCTCTTCGGCCTAAACCCTAAAGCCCCAAACCCCTAAAGGAATTTAGAACCCTAAATCCTAAACCCCTAAACCTAAAAACCCCTAAACCCCGAAGCCCTAAAACCCTAAACCCTCAACCCCGAAACCCTAAAAACCTACACCACGAAACCCTAAAACCGGAAAGCCCTAAAACCCTACACCCCGAAACCCTATAGTCAGCTCTCCCTTCGGGCCAGGCTGCGGGAGGGCACCAGGACATCGCAAGCCCCCGGCGGCAGCGCCAGGAATTTCGACCCCAGTTCTGTGCCCTGACAAGGGTTGAGCGTTTTGAGGGGCTTAAGGTTTAGGGGTTGAGGGGATCTGACATCATAGGGATCCTTAGGGGTGTAGGGGGAGGGGGGGTAGGGGGCCTTAAGGCCCATAATAAGGACTAATAAGGCCTATTTAAGGAAATATAGTCCCCTACACCCCTAAGGATCCCTATGAGACAAGGGTTGAGCGTTTTGAGGGGCTTAAGGTTTAGGGGTTTAGGGGATTTGAGGGGCTTAAGGTTTACGGGTTTAGGGGATTTGAGGGGCTTAAGGTTTAGGGTTTTGGGGATTTGAGGGGCTTAAGGTTTAGGGTTTTGGGGATTAGGGGGGGCTTAAGGTTTAGGGGTTTGGGGTTTTGAGGGGCTTAAGGTTTAAGGGTTTAGGGGTTTTGATGGGCTTAAGGTTTAGGGGTTTAGGGTGTTGAGGGGGCTTAAGGTTTAGGGGTTTAGGGTTTAGGGGGCTTAAGGTTTAGCGGTTTAGGGGATTTGAGGGGGCTTAAGGTTTAGGGGTTTGGGGTTTTGAGGGGCTTAAGGTTTAGGGGTTTGGGGTTTAGGGTTTAGGCTTAGCTTGTTTAGGGTTTACCTTAACCCTGAAGGACCTACCTTTTTAAGGACTTACAAAAGGAAATCATAATAAGGATCCCCAAAAAGGTAGGTCATTCAGGGCTTAGCAGTTTAGCGTTTAGGGCTTAGGGGGCTTAAGGTTTAGGGCGTTTGGGTTTGGGGGTTTGGGGCTTTAGGGTTTCGGGGTTGGGGTTTTGGGGTTTAGGGCTTCGGGTTTAGGCGTTTTGGGTTTTGGTTTTAGGGGTTTAGTACATGCACTTTTACATATTGGATATGGGGTTTAGTTGAAATACGCACGTCTTGGTTAGTATATTGGCTCCCACTTCGTGAGCGATTAGGGTTCGGGGTGTAAGGATTGAGGGTTAAAGGAACCGGAAACGCTCAAGGAACCCTGAAACCCTTATTAAAAGAATCCTAAACCCCTTGAAGGAACCCTGAAACACCCTAAGGGAACCCTTAACCCCCTGAAGCTCTAAACCCCAAACCCTTGATAGAACCCCTGTAAGGAACCCTTAAAGGCCCTGATTTTTTGGACCCCAAAATAAGGTACCCCCTGATTTTCGGAAACCTCTTTTGTTATCCATAATAAAGAATCTACCATAGTTCCCACAGTTTAAGGTCCTTAAGGTAATGCAGGATTTATATCCCTAAACCCTTGATAGAACCCATTTTACCCTTTTGAGGAATCCTTAAAGGCCCTGATTATAAGGACCCCAAAATGAGGTACCCCCTAATTTTCGGAAACCCTCATATGGGTGGTTGTCAAAATTATGGTCGCGCTTGGGGTACCCTAAATATTAGGTGCCGTATTATAATAAGGACCCAAAAAGGGGGATCCCTAATTTTGGAAAACCGCCCATATGTTATCCATTATACGGAATATAACATAATTCCCATGGTTTAGGGTCCTTAAGGTAATGCAGGATTTATATCATAAGCCCTAAACCCTAAAGCCTAAAACCCTATTATAGATCCCTTAAAGGAAGCCCTTAAAGGCACCCTTATAGATATCATTATCGTAACCCCTTTAAGGTACATTATAGGGGATCCTACCATTAATCCATATTCCAACTTTCAGGAGTTCCCTTTATGGAGACCATTAGGCTTCTAACCAAACCCTTCCCGGCCCCAGGGCCTCTGCAACGCGTTTTCGAAAGATGCAGCTGACCAGTCGTGCCAACCTCAAGAAAGATCCCTTTACGGTTTAGGGTTTAGAGTTTAGTAGGGTTTAGGGGTTTAGTAGGGTTTAAGGTTTAGGGGCTTAGGGTTTAGAGTTTAGGGGTGTGTTTTTTCTTTTGAAGCCTCTTTTCCAACTCGTGTGCAGCGAAAAAAACCTATGGTTGGGGCCTCGTTGAGGAACAGACAGCTCCAGCTACTATACCATCCTTAGAACCATAATAAAAACAGTAGTTTCACTATTCTCTTGGGTTTTATATACACAAACATAGAAACTAATTCCTAAGGAGACTATAGGCTAGGGTTTAGGGTTTAGGGCTTAGGTTCTCCTTTTTCATGGGCCCTGTTCCACCTGCAGAGCACATGGAAATCCTTACCAGGATGAGCCTGTGCTTACCTTTGGTGAGTAGGGAATGGAAGAATGGTAGTAATAGTAGTTATAACTATACCTTAAATTCTGCCCCATTCCTCCATTCCCTACCAACTCAAGGTAAGTGTGTGAGGAACCTCAGATCTCATGAGAAGTAGAAGCAGGGATAAGATCACTACGAAGCGGCTCGTCAAATCCGAGGTCCCAAGTGGCAGAAAACATGCTTGTGCATTTGGTTTCGGGGTTAGCGTTCAGGTGTTTCGGGGTTGAGGGTTGTAAAGCCGATGATGCGGTGCAGCACAAGGAACAGTGTTGAGTTGTCAATGATGTCAACAGTCATGATTCATCCGGCGCCATATGCTCCCAGCCGTTGATCCGTCCAGCAATGTCATCAAAATCCTTGCCTTGCTAGAACTTGGGTAGTTCTCCAGCTCAGGGTCTCTTTTAGGGGGCTTTTTTATATTAGGGTGCGGTACTATTTGTGGGAACCGGAAAAGGGACCCTAGTTTAGAGAACCACACACCTACCGATGTCTGTGAGTGCAGAGGAGCCCTTCTTCACGATTGAACGCTGCATCTGTGAGCCGATCGGCAGGAGCGGGAGACGGAGATCGGCGGTTTAGGGCTTAGGGTTTAGGGCTTGGAGGGTCAGGGGACTTAGTAAGCAAGGTTGCAGGTACTTTGACTGGGGCTGCAAATAGCCATAATGATCAGACCTTGCCTATAAGCCGAGTCACTAAAGGTTTACGGAGTCTGTATTGATGAGACCTTACTTATAATCCGAGTCACTGGGGATTTACTAAATCCCATGATCCTTTACTTGGAGGATCAGGGGACTTAGTAACTATGGTTATAAGTCCGCTAATTGGGGCTATAAGTAATTATAGGTATATTTGCATCATTTATAACCCCAGTTATTAAGTCCCAGGATCCTTTAAGCACCCTAAACTCCTATAGATCCCTTACAGGAACCCTTCCAGGAGCCCTTTAAAGTTACTAAGTCCCATGATCCTTTAAGTAGGCCCTAAACCCTAAACCCTTTTGATCCCTTTCAGGAACCCCCTATAGATACCTTTAAGGACCCCTTTAAGGAACCGTAGTTACTGAGTCCCATGAAACCCTTTTGATCCCTTTCAGGAACACCTATAGATCCCTTTAAGGAGCCCTTTAAGGAGCCATAGTTACTAAGTCCCATGATCCTTTCAGTAAGAGCTACAAGGCAGGGGTACCTCCTCGGCGATTTGGATGGCCTCCTCTATCTGGCCTCGGCATCGGCAATAAGATAAGGGCCTTTATACACAGGACTGTTTTTTTAAGTGCAATTGCTTTTCTGCAGGATGGGGTTTAGGGTTTAGGGTTCAGGAGGCCATAATACTATAATTGTAATAAGGGCCACCAAAATAAGATTGGCAATTATCCAGGCCCCTATACTGGCAAGTTTAGGGCTGCAGGGGTTTTAAGGTTTGCATTGCGCTGAACTAGGGCCCCCAAAAAAGCACATAAGCAAATACAAGGATAGGGATGTCCCATACAAACCTCCTTATAATGAAGCCCAACAAGGTAGTGACATCCCTAAAGATTGCGTCTGCTTGTCCTTTTTGGGTCCCTAATAAACCGGAAGACCCAATTCTCTTAGACTTAGGCAATTCTGACTTTGGGGCAGCGGCCTTTCATCGCAACGAGTTCGGCGAGCCGCCTTAGTTCAATCGACCCTCTACCGCATAAAATCGCCGCGATAAAGACTGGCACGCAGCACTAAACTCTAAATCCCCTTAATGTAAGCTGCGCACAGTTTGGCCTGCAGACGTCCATGGGACGATCACTTCTGCACCCGCCTTCGTCCACACTCTGCCAGTCCCAGCCTTGATCTCCTCCTTCTTGTCCGCTTCGTTTTGCCAGAGCCCCTGGGCCTGGTCTTACCAACACTAGGGTTTAGGGGTTCCTTAAAGGGTTCTTATAAGGGGTCCTTTGAAGGGATCTATAAGGGTTTAGGGTTTAGGGTTATCTTTAAAGGGTACTATAAGGGATCTTTAGGGGTACTTGGAGGATCAGGCGACCTAGTAAGGGTTCTTAAAAGGGCTCCTTAAAGGATCTGTAGGGTTCCTTTGAGGGATCTATAGGGTTCCTTAAACGGATCTAGAGTTTAGGGCCTAGGGTTTAGGGTACTGCTTGGAGGATCAGGGGACTTATTAAGTATGGTTATAAGTCCCCTGGTTGGGGTTATAAGTATTTATAAGTATAGTTACCTTATGTACATCCCAAGTTACTAAGCCCCATGATCCTTTAAGTAGGGTTTAGGGGTTCCCTAAAGGGTTCTTATAAGGGGTCCTATAAGGGGTCCTTTGAAGGGATCTATAAGGGTTTAGGGTTAAGGGTTATTAAGTTATCCTTAAAGGGTTCTATAAGGGATCTTTAGGGGTTTAGGGTTTAGGGTACTACGATTACTACACTGAGACTCCTTTAAAGGGATCTGTAAGGGTTCCTTTAAGGGGCAGTATAAGGGATCTATAGGGTTTAGGGTTTGGAGGACTACTCGGTTTAGAAAGGGGTCCTTTAAAGGGTCCTTATAAGGGGTGCTTTGAAGGGATCTATAAGGGTTTAGGGTTTAGGGGTTTAGGACGTAGGGGGTTTAGAGCTGAGGGTACTACTGTTACTACTACTAATACGAAGCGCCAATAACGCGCACTGATTCAATCTAATGCTAGCGCTGATACTACTACTAGTACTAGTACTGATGCACAAAGCCCATGAACAAATCGCAACGCTTTCGGGCCACCTTGTCGGCCGCTTGATGACCCTCGTTGAGGTTGCCGTACTCCATACAGACACCAGCAAGCCTGGGCTTGGGCAAGTTTAGGGTTCAGCTTGCACTTCCGTTCTGCTTCATACTGCTGCCCTGAGCAGGGTGTCGGGCTCGTAGAATGCGGCAGCTTCCTTGCGGCCCTCTCCGGTCTGCTGGTAGATGGCAATGGCCTTGACTCTAACTCAAACAGACTGACAGAAGCCAGGCCACCTGATGCTTGTGCGCCTCCCGCACTTCCTGGCCAAAGGCATCGAGACTCTGCTTTTGACGAAGGTGGTGTGCAACTCACGCCCTGCCGCCCCCCCCTCGCATGCACCTGAACTGCAGACTCGGGGTCGTTGAGCCTGAGGTTGATGCGGGAGACCTGCGATCACGCACCCCCGCGCCCCAAGAGTTTTCATGGCAGCAGCCCTACCCTACTTGGAGGATTAGGGGACTTAGTAAGTAAGGTTACAAGTACGCTAATTGGGGTCAGAAGTAATTATAAGTAGTTACCCTATTTATAAGCCTAGTTACTAGGTCCCATGATCCTTTAAGTAGAGCCCTACACCGTAAACCCGTCAACCCCAAACCGAGGACCGGACGGTCAAATGCACCTTAGCTTCCAAGGCCTTGTCCTGCGGCCCAAGGATGCTCATCTGGGAGTTTTGGAAAAGAGGGGACCTCAATATGGAGCCCTCATTAGCGGGATCCTGCAAATCCGATAAACCAGGGTCATCCCTAGTTATCTGAAGCCCCAATCTGTTCCTTTACTTTAGCTGCTCTTCAGCTTGTGCCATCGCTTCCGCTGTCCTGCTGGCCATCGCTAATTGCCATTGCTGCATCGGCAGCCTCCCTTGCGGCATCCTGGGTCGCACGCTGCACAATGGTTTAAGGTCTATAGTCTATAGGGTTCCTCACCAGATGTGGTCTGCAACTTGATGTCGAGCTGCAATCCTTCAACTTCGCAACTTTTTCCACTGCGCAGAGTCAGCGACAACAAGGCTTGGGCTACAACCTGTGGCGGATCGTACGGACTGCAGCTGCTGCCATGATGGCTAGCAGAATGTATTTCCCCGGGCGAACTGCCGGGCCAGGAAGGGGTGCGTGCTTCTTGCAGTGCTGAAAGTCGAGCGTATGGCAGAAGAAGCGCTCGATGTCTGCAGCGATGATCTCTGGCTGCTCAAACGCAAAGAAGTGCCCACCTTTGGAAGGCTTCGTCCACTGGCGAATGTTGTAGCAAAGTGCTACTACACTCCGAGGCAGCTTATAGAGGTCATGATGTGCCCATAAGACTGCCGTAGGCACCTTCACGCTGATCTGCCGAAGCTTGGGGACTGAAGCCTTCTTTTCCTTGGGGGGCGGATGGCTCCTGGACTTTGGAGTAACCAGGGAGAAAAAGGTATAAACGTTTATTTCATAATGGTTCCTTTAAGAAACAGGTACCAAAAAACGTATACAAGCATGGTACTCCAAACCCAGGGCACTGCAAAGTTTCGTAGTAGAGTCTCAGGCTCGAGGTAATACTCTGAGTTGTCCAATAGACCATGACATTTGTCAAAATCCTAGGATGTTCAGTAAGCCACTGGGAAAAACGTATATACTTTTCGAGGCTTCTTATTAGGGTTTAGGGTTTAGGGTTGATTATTTCATAATAGGAACCCAGAAACCCGACAGTAAAAAAAGGTGTACCACTGAGCAGCCTGAAATCTCATCCATGGTAAGACCGCTCGCCTCCGGGCGACCTCCGCGACTGTCGCTCCAACTTTGAAACTTCTCTAAGATCCAAGCGAGGAGCCCGACCGGGCTATCCTATACTGAACTTAGAGCCCTAGCAAAAAGTATAATTTTAGCTGTTTCTTAGGGATCATAATGACCAAAAATTGAAAAAATATTGCTAAGTACCCCTAAGTATCGTTGAGGCCATATCCGAGGCTTTGGGGCTTCGTGCCCTGGATTTTCTGATACGCCGTCTCGTATTTCTGGAAGTACATGGTGCTCCGGATGCCGGCCCACTCCTCAGAAGTCCAGAAGGGGCATGCCAGCAGGATTTTCACCAGATCATACCAATCCCCAGGGATTGCAACACACATGTTTATATGTAGTGCCACACACTGCTGCGGATATCGTTGCGCCACCAGTGAGGTGATGATTGCGCCCCAGTCGCCACCCTGCGCAACGTAGCTATCGTAACCCAGCTTCCGCATGAGCTCCGCCATATGATCCGCCATGAACACCACGTCCGCTCCTCTTTCCTTGGGTGCCTCACTCCAACCGTATCCAGGAATGCTTGGGGCCACAACGTGAAACTTGTCAGCCAGCAAGGGCAGGAGCTTGAGAAACTCAACGATGGACCCTGGCCAACCGTGCACGAGCAGCAGGGGAATCGCATCAGGATTCGTAGATCTCTGGTGTATAAAATGCCTATACTGAACTGGGTACCCCTGCACAAATTACGGCTTTCGCTGTTTCGGCAAGATTCGAGTGACCAAAAAGCTTAAAGTTGTTTCCATGTACCCCTGAGATGCGTCTGCAGACCCCTGACCTCCAGACGGAAATGCGGCAGCGCATTGAGCTCCGCCTCCTGCTGGCGCCAGTCGTACTTGTGGAGCCAATGCGACACATACTCCGAAAGGACCGTCCGGTCCGTGCCGTAAGCCCATGCCCCGGAGGGGTCAGCACCTGAAGAAACCCCTAAACCCGAAACCTCAAACCCTCCGTTCCTCCTTGACACTCCCTTTTTAAACAAGGATCCTACAGCTTCGGTGTCTTTACAATATGGATCTTGGCATTTAGGGGTCTTGACTGTTGAGCAGGCTACGATTGAGGGTCGATTAGAAGGATCCCAATTTCCGGAAACTCAGAATAACGACTAACATGTATAGTAGCTCTTGTAATAAACCTTCAGGAACGTGAACCTTACAATCAAAATAGCTCTTATAGTAAACCTTGAGTACCTTTAAGAACCTTTTAATCGAACACGGTCAGGGTGTTTTTTTTTTTGTTGTGGCCCCTTTTTGCTCGGGCCCCGTGTCAATGGTTTCTAGAATTTTTTTTGCTGCGGTCCCAGGGCGTGCAAGGTGTTTTTTTTTTTGCTCCGGCCCCGCCGAAAGGCAGGGGAAAGAGCGGGGCCAGAGCAAAAAAAAACAACACCACCCAGACCCTGCCCCGGAAGGGTCGCCCCGGCCCACAGTGAGTGAGTGAGCTTCCGGGCGGGGCCGCAGCAAAAAAAAAAACACCCCGACGGCGAGCGGGGCCGCAGCAAAAAAAAAAAACACCACTCCGGCGGAGGAGAAAGCATCGCTGCCCAGGCCCGCGCCCCGAAAGGTCGCCCCGGGCCACAGTGAGTGAGTGAGCGTCCGGGCGGGGCCGCAGCAAAAAAAAAAACACCACCCAGACCCTGCCCCGGAAGGGTCGCCCCGGCCCACAGTGAGTGAGTGAGCTTCCGGGCGGGGCCGCAGCAAAAAAAAAAACAGACCCTGCCCCCGGGCGACCCTTCCGGGGCAGGGTCTGGGTGGTGTTTTTTTTTTTGCTGCGGCCCCGCCCGGAAGCTCACTCACTCACTGTGGGCCGGGGCGACCCTTCCGGGGCAGGGTCTGGGTGGTGTTTTTTTTTTTGCTGCGGCCCCGCCCGGACGCTCACTCACTCACTGTGGCCCGGGGCGACCTTTCGGGGCGCGGGCCTGGGCAGCGATGCTTTCTCCTCCGCCGGAGTGGTGTTTTTTTTTTTGCTGCGGCCCCGCTCGCCGTCGGGGTGTTTTTTTTTTTGCTGCGGCCCCGCCCGGAAGCTCACTCACTCACTGTGGGCCGGGGCGACCCTTCCGGGGCAGGGTCTGGGTGGTGTTTTTTTTTTTGCTGCGGCCCCGCCCGGACGCTCACTCACTCACTGTGGGCCGGGGCGACCTTTTCGGGGCGCGGGCCTAGGCAGCGATGCTTTCTCCTCCGCCGGAGTGGTGTTTCTTTTTTTGCTGCGGCCCCCGCCGAACTCGGCGAGCCAATAACAAAAAATGTCTGGTGTACTACATCGGGTCCAAAAAGACCCGGCGGGGCCACAGCAAAAAAAAAAACACCACTTCCATCGAACACCAACAAATACCAAAAAGAAACCCCTGAGAACCTTATAGAGAAACCTTGGTAGGAACCCCGAGAACCTTATAGAACCCTATAGCAACCTTTAAGAGAACCTGATTTATGAATCCTAATTCCCTAGAACCGCAAACCCCTAAACCCCCAAAGCCCTGCACCGGACATGGGAGTTTCCGAAAATAGGGGGCCCTAATCTAGTACCCTGAATAGTAGGATCCTTAATATAAGGACCCCCCCAAATAATAGAAGGTACCCCCCGAATTTTCGGAAACTCCCACATCGCTTTCAGAAACTCCCTCCTCGATCCAGGATCTCATCTGGCACAATCCTGGCCCTTCGGAGCCGATCCTTCAGATCCTGGGCCCCCAAACCTACTATTTGCTTAAGAACCCCCCAAAAAATAAACAATTATAACCCCTATATTATCCCTATAAGGAATATATTTTTTATTTTTGAGGGGTTCTTAAGCAAATAGTAGAAACTGTAGGTGGGTTTAGGGCTTAGGGTCTTAGGGTCTTAGGGTTTTACAGTTTAGGGCTCAGGGTATTCCCAAAATACGAATCCTCATGTGGGTGGTTGTCAAAATTGGTTGCTTTAATTAAAAAGGGATCTAAAAGGGATCTACTATAAGTTGTCAAAATTGGTTGCTTCAAAGGGATCTAAAAGGGATCTATAAGGGCTCTATGTAGGGTTTACGGTTTCTGGGTCCATGTACCCAAATAGGTGGTTGTCAAAATTAGGGTCTGCTTTTGGTCCCGGATATAGTACGGCACCTAATATTTAGGGTACCCCAAAAGGGGCCATAATTTTGACAACCGCCCATTTAAAGGGCTCCTTGAAGAGGTTACTGCAAGGGTTTTGGGGTTTTGGGTCTGAGGTTCTGTCGACAGTTTGGTGCGATCTTGTTGAGGAGCGTAACTTAAGTTATCATCATCAGGAAACCAGGTTATTCCCTTTCGATACCTGTTATGGTAAGTCAAAGAAAGTTCCTCAACAAGAAATTCATCAAATATACGGCAAGAAAGAAGCCCATGCTATTTACCATAATCTAAGCCACCATCATAAGGAAACCCTAGTATTTGCTATGGATCCCTGTTGCGGTAACTTCAAATTACCCATAGACTCCATACTAGTTCCTTTTGGGATTGCCTTATAGGATTCTAAATATGAACCCCGAAAAGGAACTACTATATGGAGCCGCTAGGTAGGTTCCTTAACACAAACCCAGGAACTGCCAACTCCTCATCCGAGACATGAATACGGAAGGGCGTCGGCGTCTCCATCTCCGGGGCCTTTAGAGGCCCCTTTCTTCAGGGCTTCCAGCTCGGGGGCCTTTATGGGCCTTACAGGAGGGTTTCGAGTTGCTTTGGGAACTTGATCCGAAACCTCGCAGAAAGTGGATGGGAGACGAGGAAGCCATGGACCCTCCACAGGGCTCAGGTCGCGGCAGTGTTCCCTTTTATGAGGTGGCCTCGTGCAAGAAGGTTCTGCAGCTGGCCCTCCTTCTGCGTATCTTGGCCTCGGTGCAAAAGGGCAATACAGACTGATGGATGCACGGATGGACGTACGGAGGCGCAGACAAAGACAGACAGACAAGGAGAGAGCGGAAAGAGAGGGATCTGAAAATCCCGTAGATGCATAAACCTGGAACCCTGGACCCTAGACCCTGGACCCTAATCCCTGATCCCCAAACCCCTAAACCCTAAACCCCTAAACCCCTAAACCCTAAACCCCTAAAACCCTATAAACCCCTAAAACCCTTTAAACTCTAAACCCCCAAACCCTAAACTCCTATACCCTAAACTTAAACCCCTAAACCCCTAAACCCCCATAAACTCTTATAAACCCTAAACCCCTAAAACCCTAAACCCCTAAAAACCCCATAGATGCCCAGGACCGAGCTCGTGTGGGCCGCTTCTGCAGCAGCCTGGCACCAGTCTGAAGTTCTCTGCAGCTGGGCTCCCCAGTAGCCCCCTTAAAAAGAAGGGGTAGGGTTTAGGGTTTAGGGTTGGTATACTATATATATATATATATATATATATTACTATAATAAGGGGGTAGGGTTGAGGGTTTAGGGTTGTGTACTATAGTATATAGTGGTTAATAAGGGGGTAGCTTTTAGGGTTTAGGGTTGTAATAAGGGGGTAGGTTTTAGGGTTTAGGGCTGTATACTATAGTATATAAGAGGAATTACGGGGTGTAGGGTTTAGGGTTCAGGGTTGTATACTAAGTATACAATGGTTCATGAAGGGGTAGGGTGTAGGGTTGTATACTATAGTATATAATGGTTCACAAGGGGGTAGGGTTTAGCGTTGTATACTATAGCATAAGATGGTTTATAAGGGTGTAGGGTTTAGGGTTTAGGGTTGGTATATCTATATAATATATACTATAGTATATCATGGTAGCCTTTGCTAATACGGGTACCCTTTTTCCTAGTATTCGGTCTTGATAAGGAGAACCCAAAATGCATAGGGCAATTGGGTACTACTGGGGGACCTAGTTGTGGAGTGAAAGCCACAGGGTTTTTGTTTTAAGTGCAATGAGGTTCAGGGTTTGGGGTTCAGGGTTTGGGTTTAGGGACCCCTACAAAGGGATGGTGAATTGTCGGCAGCTGCATCATAACCCAACACTGCGCTAACGCCCTAAGCCCTAAAACCGTCAAACCCCACAACCGAACAACACTACGAAAAGACCTAAACCTCTAAACCCGAAAAAAGAAAGACCCTAAACCCCCCCCCCCCCTCCACACACCTTTCCGAGCGAGCCTTCAGTTCCATCACCGCCTTTGTGATTTCGCTTTTCCGGGATTTGACCTCACGCGCTCCAGGGGACCAAAGCCCAGATGACAAGGCTTGCCGGCCCAGACCCCTAGGAGGACCTCCAAATTAGATCCCTAAAACGCGGGGTTCCTGCTGTAAAAGGAAGTAGGAATTGCGTCTAGGGTTCTATAATAGGGTTACCTTTAATTTAGGTCCTTTAAAGTACCCTTTAGGCGTATACTTGGAGGGGCAAGGGACTTAGTAAGTAGGTTAGAAGTACCCTACATGGAGTTACCCCAATTATAACCCTACTTAAAAACGACTTACTAAGTCCCCTGGCCCTCCAAGTAGACCCTAAACCCTAAACCCCATAGATCCCTGTAAGGAGCCCTATAGATCCCTTTAAGGAGCCCTTGATGAAGCCTACTACGTGTCCTGGGTCCCGACTCCGGAGACCTACTTTTTGGATCCTTAGCCGGGCCTCCGAGGATGCGTCCTCGAGGTAGCTGTAGCTCCCCAACCTCATCGGGCTGAAGGGCTTTGTTTCTTTTGAACCCCTCTTTTCCGACTGCCCCGAAGGTTAGCTAGAACACCAGGTTGGCGGAGGCTTAGGGCTTTTCGAGGTTTAGGTAGGGCTTTTCGAGGTTTAGGGTTTATGGTTTAGGGGCTTTTAGGGCTTAGGGTTTTCGGGTTTTAGGGGTTTTAGGGGGTTTTAGGGGGTTTAGGGCCTTGGGTTTAGGGATCCAGGATGCTAGCATTAGGGCTTAGGGTTCAGGATTTTCAGGGGTGTAGGGTTTAGGGATTGAGGGTTGAGGGTTTCCAGGATTAGGGTTTCAGGGCTTAGGGTTTCAGGGTTTTAGGGGCTTTAGGGCTTTAGGGGTCTAGGGTTTGGGCATTCAGGTTTAGAGTTTATAGGGATCCAGGATGCCCCGAGACTCCCAAAACCCCTTAATCAAGGAATAGACCTTAAATCTTATCAGGGGTTTCACGGTTTAGGGTTTAGGGTTTAGGGTTTTGGGTTTAGGGTCCTACTACAACTTAAGGCATATATTCCTTCATTAAGGACTTTTGGAGTCTCTTAAGACTTCGGGGTTTCAGAGCTTAGGGCTTAAGCATTAGGTTTAGGGTTTAGGGATTCCGGATGCTTGAGGCTTCATTATCATATCCTCTCCCAAAAACTTACCTACATAGCTACTATCCTAAACCTAAGTACCTAATTACTGGGTCCTTTGGACCCTTGGGGTTTGGGTTCAAGGATGGTTCTGATTGTAGGATCGATCGTTGAGGCACAGCGGTGGAGAGCTGGAGCCCACCCTCTTGGCTTCTGAGGGCCCAACAAGTCCTGCGTAGGGGCGACGATGCCATTGGCCTCGGGCTTATCGTTTAGGGTTTAGGGTTTATTGGTTTAGGGTTTAGGGGTTTAGGGGTTTAGGGTTTAGGGGTTTAGGGGTTTAGGGTTTAGGGGTTCAGGGGGGTAAGGGTTCAGGGGTTTAGGGTTTAGGCCCCGCAACACTTCTGGCCTAAGTTCGCTGGGATCTCTAAGGCAGCTGCTTGACCGGAGACCATCACGCCCAAGCGACCTCCGAGCTGTGGTTCAACTCAAGGTGCTTTCGGGTAGCTACTCTAAATTCGGGTCTCTTCTTAAGCTCCCCAGAATACTACGCCCCCCATATAAATTATAAGACAAGAACCCTAAAAGGGCCCCTAACTTAGAGAACAACTTTGTGCTCACTTCTCAGCCGAGGGGCCTGCTGTCTGGCGGCCGAAGAGTTGGCCAATCAGGTTCTACACTCAACTCCGTGTGACAGATCAGGACCCTAAACCCTAATCCCTAAACCCTAAACCCTAATCCCTAAACCCTAAACCCTAATCCCGAAACCCTAATCCCTAATCCCTAAATCCTAATCCCTATAGACCCTAAACCCTAAACCACAAATTGGGGAGGATGCTGCAGGGCTAGGGGCCTACAAAGTTCTCTTGGCGTCCTGCTGTGATGCTGTGAAACCTGTGAACCTCGGAGTGAATTCCAGGATTTCCCAAAACTGTCTGCAACCTCGTGCAGAGGCACGCTTCTGTTCCTCCCTCGCCCCTCTGATGCACTTTTCCCGACGCAGCGAGATTGGAGGCATTGGACAGCTCCTACGACAGCAGAAGGTTGCTGCTACGACTGCGCTGAGAAGCCTGCCTGCATCATCGGAACGTATCAAGGATTGGAGCTCAGGCTCACTATGTAGGCAGCAACCCCATCACCAAAGCATTTCCGCAAGGAGCACAGAGGCTCCGCACTGACATTGGATGGCACCATTGGCCGGGGAGCATTTGCTGTGAAAGTACTATACCTTCATTGGCTGGCCAAGAAGCTCAGATCTGTGGCAAGGCGGTCCCAAACACACACGCTTTGCTGTGTGATCACCTTATCCCCACCCAGAAGAAACGAACTCCTGATGAGTTCTCCCATCCCTTGTCGAACTTGTCGGCCGAAGCCAACAAGTGACTGGATGCATCTTTGAGAAGTATGGTGGTGCCAGCATCCACCATCTTCTCCTTCTTATCTGTTTCCTTGGCAAACCGTAGGGAACCTTCGAGAACATGAATCACGCCGGGACCGCAAAGCTCAATCGTGCATGGGAGCGCAGCGCGGCGGGCAGGCAGCTGGTAGACCTTGCTCTGCATCTTCCTGAGTTGTCCTTTAATTTAAGCCCTTTCAAAACTATTTACTATTATGGTTCTCTACAAAATAGTAGGGGAAATGAAAAAAGATCACAAAGGACAACCCAGCTTCTTTGTGGTGATGCCCGCAAACTCCGATGCTTCGATGTCGGAGAGGGGTAGCTGCACAGCAGGTAGCCTCATCCCATCAGGGGCCTGGGAAGCTCAGTTAAACGGTTAGGGACCCTAAACCCTAAACCCTAAACCCTTTAACGGTTTAGGGATTTGGGACGCCGAAACCGGGAAGCCTAAAACTCGAAACCCTAGAACCTAGGAACACAAAACCCTAAACACAACCTTTACAAATCCCTCAGAGGAGCCCTTACCCAGACCCCCGGGAGTATCCAAAAAGTAGATCCCTTAATGGGGGGTTCCAAAAAAGTACCCTTAGCAGTATAGTGCCCCAAACTAGGGGATCTACTTTCTAGATCCTCCTGGAAATCTGGGTAACGGGAGCCCTTTTAGGAACCCCTAGAAACCCATCCGCCTGGGAAGCACGGGCCATATCCAGCTCGACTGCCACTACCTGCGGAGTTCGGGAGCTCGCCGTCCGTTCCTGGGCTCTTATTAAGGAACTTACTTTTCAGGAATCCAGGCATAGCGATTATCAGTTTTAGGGTTTATGCTTTAGGGTCTTAGGGTTTATAGGGAACTCACAGTGGAAGCCCGAAAGTTGGAAACCCTAATAGCCGCAATCCTCAAGAGTATTGTTATAGGGAAGGCCAGCACTATTTGGCCTTAGTCCGGTTTCCAACTTTTTGGGGTTTGCTGTACTTTACAGGAATCCAGGGTTCAGGCTTGTAGGGTTTAGCGTTCTAGAGCTTTAGGGTTTAGGCTTTAGTAAGGGCTTATAGGGTTCATAGGGCTTAAGCTTTAGAGCCTTAAGGTTCTTGTTCAGGTATTGAGTTTAAGGATCTATAAGGGTTCCTTTGAGGGATCTATAAGCTATAAGGGTTTAGGGTTTAGTGTTTAAGCTAAGTGGATTCTTGTTTTGGGTCGCTTTAAGGGTTCGACAAAAGATTTATCCGGGCTACTATAAAGGTTTAGGGCTAGAAAAAAACATACCATTTCTGTGTTCTTGTCACGGGGCTACTGTGTTCTTTTCAAGCTTCCTTGAACGGGTCTATATGGATTCTTATTTATGGAATCCGATCAAGTTACCATACTCTTAGGACACTCTGTTGTTTGCATTGCTATAGGTCACTAGTACGGTAACTTAAACCCTAAAGCCACAAATCATATACCCTAAATCCTAAACCCCAGATCCCTGAACGAACCCGGTTGCGCAGCTTAAACCCCAAACCTTTATACATCCTGTAAAGAAACCCTTATAGATGCTTGAACTAAATTCCTTAACAAGAACCCAAAAATTGACTTATGAACTCTATGAGCCCTAAAACCCCAAATCCCGGGATCCAATAAACGTACTTCAACCCTCAACCCTAATCCCTAAACCCTAGACACTCAACCCTAAGCCCTAAACCCTTGCCTAAACCCTAAACCCGAATCCCAGGATTCGTAAACCACAGGAACCCTTAAAGATCTTCGAACTATAAGGGACCTAAACCCTAAACCCCGCTTAACAATATCCCAGGTTCGTAAACCCTTATAGAACTCCTATAGATCCCTGAAATCAAAACTGAAAATGTCATAAAGATCCCTTAAAGGAACCTTTAAAATATCCTATACATCCCTGAAAGGAGCCCTTGAAATGTCATATCGATCCCTTAAAGGAACCTCTAAAATATCCTAAACATCCCTGACAGGAGCCCTTAAATATCCAATAGATCCCTTAAACTATGTTAAAGATCCCTGAAAGGAACCCTTAAAATTATCCTAGAATTCCCTGAAAGGAACCATTAACATATCCTACAGATCCCTTGAAGGAGCCCTTAAAAAAAAGCGCCAGGCTCGTATACCACCCGCTCGTTTCGCCAGCTTTGGAGCGGAGGCATTCTTCGCCTTTTGGGCCTTCCGCCTAGGGGGGCTTTCGGAAATACCCTAAACCCTAAACCCTAAACCCTAAACCCTAAACCCTAAACCCTAAACCCTAAACCTAGGGTCCCGTCCCTTTAAAGGGGCTTTAGGGGTTTAGAGGTTTTAAGGGTCTCAGGGGCTTTAAGGGTTTAGGGAATAGTAGTGGAGCTTTCAGAAATGTCTGAGGGCTCTTTGGGTTCCTTTAGAGGGTCCTTATAAGGGGTCCTAAAGGGATCTATAAGGGTTGAGGGCTTAGGGCTTTAGGGCTTTAGGGGCTTTAAGTGTTTTAGGGGGTTTAGAGTATGAAAGTGGTGCTTTCAGCAATGCTGAGGGCTTAGGGTTTAGGGGTCTTGAGGGTTTGAGGCTCCCAAAAGGATCTATAGTTGTTAGGGTTTAGGGGGCTTTAAGGGTTTCAGGGTTTAGGGCTTTGGGTTTAGGGTCGTGGGTTATAGGTTTCTGGGCTTGGGCTTTAGGGCTTTGGGTTTAAGCTCGTGGGTTTCAGTTTTCAGGGTTTAGGGTAACAAATATTCAGCCACGAAGCCGGCAGTCTCTGGCTCCTCTCTCTTCACATGTGCTTCGGAGGATGCAAATGCATCCACCGAGACCCGAGCCAATGCTCCCACCTGTCGCAGCTTGGCAATCTGCCGCGGCGTTGACTTCTGGAGTGTGTTTGGCTTCTCGATCTGCTTTTTGGGAGAAGCCTTAGCTGTTCAATATCAGAGGGGAACCAAAAGTTAGCCTTTGGGGTTATATGCGGATGATAATGCCAAAAAAAAGGGGTGAAGGTTACCTCCTTTACGACGAAGAAGCTTTCTTGAGGATGGATTTCGGCATCGGGGACTTCACTGTGAGCCGATGTCCCGGAGAGGTTGCGCCTTTCCCTTTCCCCGCGGGTTCTGTCCGCTTGCGCTTCGCTGATGCCGGCTCTGGCACCGCCTGGCCTTTCCTGCCTCGGGCTGAGCCCTGAACCTTACACCCTAAACCTTATAAGTCCTAAACCCTAAACCCTAAGTCCTGAACCCTAAGTCCTAAAGCCTAAAGCCCAAATCCTAAGTCCTAAACCCTATAAATCCTAAACCCTAAACCCTAAAGCCCAAATCCTAAGTCCTAAACCCTATAAATTCTAAACCCTATTGGCCTCCCCTGCCCTGGCCCTTCCCACCTCTGGGCGGGGCGGGAGGCGGCGAAGGGGTCTCCACCACCACACGCCGACCTCGCCTCGGCGGAGTAACCTGGTTTAGGGTTTAGGGTTTAGGTGAGGAATTTCGACTAAAATCCTACGTATGACTTGTAAATTCAAGTTGCTATCGGGGAGACGACATTATTTACTGTTCAAGAACCCTAAACCCTAAACCCTGTTCAAGAACCAGCTCCCTTCTTCAATAACCAGGCCCCAACAAGTTCAAACTTTAAAAAATAGAGTTAATATATAAGGCCAAAAGGTTTAAAGTTTCCTAAACCCCAAGCCCCTAAACCCTAAACTCCTAAACCCTAAATCCCTAAATCCCTAAACCGTCACTATCTAAGCCAGTAGCGGGCCCTTCCGGTGGCGCGGCGCTGCTTGAGGGTGCAAGATCGGCTGCACGATCCAAGACCTGACATACGGTTTAGGGTTTGGGGTTTAGGGTTTGGGGTTTGGGGTTTAGGGTTTGGGGTTTAGGGTTTAGGGTTTCGGGGGTTTTAGGGGGGCTTTCAAGGTGTCGGGGTTTCGGAGATTTGGGGCTTACTTAAAGGATCATGGGAGCTAGTAATTAGGGTTATACATATAGTTACTTATAACCCCAATTAAGGTACTTATAACCATACTTACTAACTCCCCTGATCCTCTAAGTAGTACCCTCAACCCTAAACCCTATAGATCCCTTTAAGGACCCCTATAGATCCCTTTAAGGAGCCCTTGAAGAACCCTTACTAAGTCCCCTGATCCTCTAAGTAGACCCTAAACCCTAAACCAAACCCTATACATCCCTTTAAGGAACCCTATATACATCCCTTCAGGGAGTCCTTTAAGGGTTTTAGGCTCCACTCAGTAATAGTTGAATAACATTCATAATCCAGATATACAGTATTCGGACCTTACTAGTAGCCCTGTTATAGACTCTTACTGTATGGGGGCAGTATACCTAACCTCTAAGTAGGGTTCCTAGGCTCCGCGACCTGCTGCTGGAAAGATCTGGCCCCCGGCTCGGGTCGCCAGAGCTCCGCGCGAAAGAAGTCGTCCACTTCTGCAGCTGACAGCTTCTCCCGGCTCTCTGAGGTCACCTAGCAAATAGGGGCCTTAAAGATAAAAAAAATAATAACAATAATAATAATCACGATGATAGTATTAATAATAACTAGACTAGGGTTTTGGGGCCCACTATGCTATGTTCATAATAAGGAACCCCTCAAAATAGTCTTGGATTTTTTAAAAACAAGGTAACTATACCTATAACTACTCATAGCCTCAATTAGGGTACTTATACGCTTACAAGTAGGTGTCGATTTCAATGATTTCTAACTGGGGCTCTACATTAAATAACAAGGGAAATCAAAAATGATCCCAAATCGATACCGACTCACCTTCGCTAAGAGCTCGGACATGCTCTTCCTGCCCCTCCCCGCCGCAGACGCCGACGCCGCGGAGGCCGCGGAGGCCGCGGACGTGGGCTCTGCAGGCATGCGAGATCCGGAAGCCTGGACCTTGAAGATAACCACGGGAAAAAAGTTTAGACTTTTATTCTATAATCGTTCCTTGAAGGAACAGGTAATTACCAAGAAAAGTATTAAAGTATGGTACTCCAAAGCCCAGAAGCGGCTTCTGCGGCCTCGGGCGCCGACATCTGCACGCTCTTCAACGGCCCTCGCGGGGCTCTCAGAGGCTGAGAGCCGAAGTAGCTGCGGAAGTTTCGGAACTTTTGAAGTGCCTTTGCCTCGCCTTGCCTGGCGCCTGCTCAACGATTTCTGGTGCTCTCGTCCAGTTGGCGACATGCCTACTTGAAGGCTCATGGGACTTAGTAAGTAAGGTTATAAGTAGGTCATAACTAGGATAACCCCACTTAGGGGGCTTATATCCCCAATGATAACCTACCTACTAAGTCCCACGATCCTCTAAGTATGTCCATGTGGTTCTGTGAGACTGCACATGTCCGGGCCCAGGAGTGCACCCACACAGGGGGCCAAACAAAAACACTGCAATGCAATGTCAACGCAACGGCTGCTGGGTTCTTGTTAAAGAACAATATATATGTGACCATACCGAGGAAATCCGGTTATTTGCTGTAGACCCCTATTTGGGTAATTAACATAACAAACTTCCTGACTGACAGGAACCCGGGCACCTGGGCTTGCACACCTCCCACCCCAGATCAGTATGCGGACAAGCGCTCGCCACAGGTCTCACCGGAAGATAGCGATGGCCATCAGGATCGTACACCACGAAAGCACCTCAAAGCTTCCAAGGGCAACGCCACACCTTGCCAAATCACGGTCCTGTTTCTGAGGTCACGACCAAGGAGCCAGTCCCGGCCTAAGCCGCCATCCCAAACCCTAATAGCCTAAACCCCTAAACCGCCGACAATCCGAACATCGATCGCTCTCCTGATCCTGCAAACTCGAGCTGCGCACCTTCTCAGTGGGCTCTTCGTTCTCCTGCAGCTCAGCTCATGCCACCCCCAAACCCTAAACATATGAGTAGCTGTCAAAATTATGGTCCCTTTTGGGGTTCCCTATACATAATACTAGGTGCCCTATTGTAATAGGGACCCAAAAAGGGACCATGATTTTGACAACCACCCATATGAACCCTAATGACCAAAGTTTGCGGCGTGAATCATAACAAGGCGCCTGGGACTCACTGGGATAGATGATCAGCTCCTGCCGTCGTCTTCGCATCGCAACGTACTCTCTCTCTCTCTCTCTCGCTCTCTCTCTCTCTCTCTCTCTCTCTCTCTCTCTCTCTCTCTCTCTATGTGTATGTTTATATAATATATATATATATATATATATATGCACCTCTACATCTCTATGTCTCTATATATCTCCATCTCTATATCTCTATAGTTTCTCATTCTCTCATACTCCCAAACTCTCAGTCAGACAGACGAGCTCCGACTGCAAAAGCAGCACCCCCATTTGGGGGTTTCTGAAAATAAGGGACCCTCAACCCTCATATGGTACCCTAAATAGTAGGATCCTTATTCTAAGGACCCAGAAATAAGGTACCCCCATTTTTCGGAAACCCCCATTTTCACATTCTTTCACTTTGGAGATTGAGCGCCAACTCTGTGCCTTGGTATTGCCCAATGGCGGTGAGACTGATGTGGGGGTGGCTGTCAATATGAGGGCCCTCCTTGTACCCTCAAATAGGGGTATATGGTCCCAAATAAGGGGCATTTAGGGTCTAATCGAGGGTAGATGGAGGGTCTAGGAACATTAGGGTCCCTTTTTGGGTCTTTATTATAATACGGCACCTAGTATTATTTATGGGGTACCCCGAAAGGGATTGTAATCTTGACAATCACCCATGTAACACCTTGCAATCTGGCTTCCTGAATTCAGGAACCTTGCCAGCCTACGTGCGGCGATGCTCGTTACTTGGAGGATAAGGGGACTTAGTAAGTAAGGTTACAAGTCCCCTAGTTGGGGTTATAAGTATATATGAGTAAATTACCTTATTTACAACCCTAGTTACTAAGTCCCATGATCCTTTAAGTACTGTACACACTGCAGCTCCCTAAGGAGGACTGCGAGGGGCGGCATCGCAGCCAAGTCTGGTCCTTCCGATTCGATCTGTGCCGTTTTGCATCTACCTCCCCACAGGTTCTGCGCTGCACCGTAGTGACGTGCTTCCGTACGGATGCATACCTGGACTTTGAAGTAACCAGGGAGAAAAAAGACTAGACTTCTATTTCATAATTGGATCCCTTAAGGAACAGGTACCAAAAACAATTCAAAAGTATGGTACTCCAAACCCAGGATGCTGCTCCTCGAGGGCCTCAGTCCTTCTCTCTGTCTCGAGGCGCGTGATCTGCAGGTGGCGCAGAGCTCTGTGCAGCTTTTCATGGACTCTGCAATTCAGGCAGAAGAAGCTGCGTTTGGGCTCGTCAGGCAGAAAGAGAACGTGGAAGATGTCTTTGGACAGGGCATGCGGCACTCTGCTACAACCCAGAATCTCTTGGAGCCATGATTTTCCCAGCACTTCGAAGACCACTTGAAAAAGGTCATTCTGAGAATGCGCTGCTTCGGGAGGGGGCTTCATGCTTCGGCGCCGGCCCGCAGAAAATCGGAGCTTCTGCCTCTGGAAATCGGTACCATAGAGGCACAGCAGTCGTGACCTTGGTGGCCTCAGCATTGGTGATGATCCGCCCCATGCCATGGCTGGGCATTGGCCGCAAATACGATCCGTCGAAGTGCGAATAGCTTCCTATAGGGCTTAGTTGGGCGCTTGTTTGGCAGGTAGACACGGGCTTCTGAAGTGTCGAGTCACGAACGGCTACAACACGTTGCCTGCCTCGCTAGGTGAAGAAACGCTGGCGATGGCCTGTGAATGCGTGGCACGCAGGCAACTGCATAGGTCCGATCGATATTCGATGAGCTCAGTAATACAAATGGTCATTTATCGGGAATCCTAAGCGCAAGAATAATACTAATTGTTCTGACCCCGAAAACTAGTAGAGGCTCCAATGCGGCGCAGCACTGGCAACCACCAAAAGCTCCTCCTTGAAGTTCTGCATAACATCAGAATTTACACCTTTTCTCATCAAGACGATACAGCATCAGGTCGAGCTATGCATGCGCAACTGTAAGCACCCTGCCACACCGGATCATGACATAGGCCTCGCTTGACCTCGCTGCGGCTTCAATTGCCCGAGCCGAATGTCGCCTCTATCATGACTTGACACCGTAAACCCCTAAACCCAAGGCGGCATTCGCGATGCCAAAACAAATCCCTCACAGGGCTCCTGTTCAGGACTGTAAGTTAAGCTTCCTTAACCAGGCAACCTGTACTGTTTGCTATAGATCCCTACTGTGGAAGCTTAAATCAAGTTCCTGAACAAGAAGCCAGAAAACAATCCCCTCACTGCTCAGGAATCAGCTGCGCGCTCAGCTCGTACTGCGCAGACAGGTCAGGGCAGTCGACAGCAACAGCACGTGACATGAAACACCACACGAGTCACCAAGAGAGCCCAGTGTCCCTCAAAAAGTGAACGATGAGTTACCTTACAGATCTGTATAATTAATAACTATGATATAAAGAATATGAATATTCCTAGAGGGCTATTAGGCTCTCTAGGCACCAGACCCTACACCCTAAACCCTCAGGTCAGCCTCCAGCTTCTTCTCCTTGTCCTGCTGGAGCACCACCTTCCAAAGGGGTGATACTGGGAACACAATGCTAATCTAACCAGTGGTTTGGGGTTCCCTGGGCTCTTTAGCTCCTTATTCAATAGGGATTATCATCATCCCTGGCTCCTTAGCTCCTCCAATATCAAAGGTTAGTAATGGTTTAGGGTTTAGGGTTTAGGGTGTAGGGGCCTGAATAAATAGAACCAGGGTTCCTTTCAAGGGCTCTTATAATGAGTCTATAAGGGTTACCTAATAATTTTCCAGAGTTTTGGGGCCGATTATACTAAGTTTTTTACTAAGGACCCCCCCCCCCCCCCAAACAAAATATTATGCGACTCACTTCTAATGACCACCGCGCTCCGGTCCAGTCTACCGGGGCTGCTGTTAAAGCAATCAACATGCACTCAGGTTCCATTACTTGGGTGGTTGTCCAAATTAGGGTTCCTTGTTGGGTTCGGGAAGATAATTTTGACAACCGTCCACATCAAGAACACAATGCTGCACCTTTTCAATCACAAAGCAAGACACATCCAGGCGGCATGACGGCTTACTCTAGGCAGCACCTGGTAGTCACCCTCCTCCAATGACATGACGGAGTTGTACCTGCCAGGTTGGCTTGTGTTCATCCCTCAACCCTCAACCCCAAATCCCTCATCCCTAAACCCCAATCTCTCATCCCAGAACCCTAAACCCGAATCCCCAAACCCTGACCCCTCATCCCTGAACCCTAATCCCTCATCCTTCAAGCCCAAACCTTACACCCTAATCCCTAAACCCTGAGCCCTCATGCCTAAATTTAGGGATGAGGCGTAAGCCCTAAACCCAAATCCCTGAAGCCTAAATCCTAAGTCCGAAACCCTACAAATCCTAAACCCTAAATCCTAATCCCTAAATCCTCCTCATCCCTGATCCCTAAACCCTAAACCCTAGTCCCCAAACAACCTGGGGCCTAAATCCTAAGTCCTAGACCCTATAAATCCTAAACCCTAAGTCCGAATCCCTAATCCCTGAACCCCTAAACTTCTAAACCCTAAACCCCCAAACCCCTAATCCCTAAACCCTAATCGGGGGTCTCCGAAAATAGGGATCCCTAATATAGTACCCTACATAGTAGGATCCTTATTATAAGGACCCCAAATTAAGGTACCCCCTATTTTCGGAAACTCTACACCCTAATCCCTAAACCCTAATCCCTAATCCTTAAAGCCTAAATCCTAAGTCCTAAGTCCTAGACCCTATAAATCCTAAACCCTAATTTCTAATCCCAAATCTGGGGCCGACAGCCTCAGAGTCTCCAGGTTCTCGTCGCCACCCTGCCAGCCCCAGAGACTCCAATACCCCTTAAGTAAGGAATATTCCTTAAACCCGATAAGGGACCCTAGTAATTCCTTAATTAAGGAATATTCCTTAAATCATATAAGGGACCCTAGTATAATTTAAGGAATATTCCTTAAATCATATAAGGGACCCTTAGTATAATTTAAGGAATATTCCTTAAATCATATAAGGGACCCTTAGTATAATTTAAGGTATATTCCTTAATTAAGGGGTATTGGAGTCTCTGGGGCGTCACAAAATGCGGAGACCACGGGTGTATCGGCTCAGGGTTCAGGGTTTTTTCATTTTTTGAGCTCAGGGTTTGGGGTCTAGGGGTTTAGGGGTTTAGAGCTTTAGGGTTTAGGGTTCAGGGGTTTAGGGGTTTACGGGTTTAGGGGTTTAGGGTTTAGTGGTTTTTAGGGTTTTAGGGTTTAGGATTTAGGGCGCAGTGACTCCAAAACACCAGACCATTTGAACAAACAATGCAACAATACTCCCTCAATTGCCTAACGGATACATTCGGATACCTTGGAACCCCCAGAACCCTAAAGCCCTAAACTACACCCTGGAAACGCCAAAGCCCTAAAAAAGCCTTAAATACCAAATCTCAAACCAATGATATATTCGGATACCTCGAGTTTTACCAGGCCTCTGGTCGCAGTTCGACGAGCGAGGACGACGGCCCCTGGCAAAGGAGCTGGCAGAGTGAGCGGAGCGAGCCCAAGGCCCCCATACTTAGCTATTTCATGAAGGTAAGAGAACATAATAGACTATAATCTACTATAGTATATTATAATCTACCATAATCTGAACATAATATGCCTTACTTAAGCCCTGTTATTTAAGCTTACGAGGTACGGGGCTCCCTGGCTACACCCGAAGACTTAACAGGGACAAAACAGCGCGCCTGGAAAGCGTCCAACAAGGCCACCTTCAGGTTGGTTTAAGGGTTTATAAGGGTTACATAGGGTTCAGGGGTCAAAGGCCCACCTGCGGGCCGGAAAACCCTGCAAAGACGTGGGACCTGGAACTGGCACTTGAAGTTCGTGAAGGGCGCATGCTGCGTTTGCGTGTGTGTGTATACATACATACATACATATGTATGTATATATATATATATATCTATATATATGATGTCTGTGTTGTCTGTGTGTGTACTGTGTACAGTAGGTTCATGTGTGTGTTTGAGGGTGTGTGAGTGTATGTATGTAGATATGTATACACTTCGGGTTATGTATCTATGTGCTTACGAATTAGTTCATTCATTTGCTGGAGCTGCTCGGCTGTTGCAGGCAAGCCGCGCGAAAGACACCGCCATGCTGGCACGATCGTGTGGCTGAACAACCTCTGCGAGGCAAAGCAGGTCCCATCATCTTGCCTTGCACCCCAAATCTCTGAGACAGATGCACCCGGCAACAACAACAACAACAACAACAACTACTACTACTACTACTACTACTACTACTACTACTACTACTACTACTACTACTGCTACTGCTACTGCTACTGCTACTCTCGCAAGGTCACTATATAGAGGCTTCAGCCAGGCTCGCTAGAAGCCGAGACCCAGTGTCGTGTTGTGTCAGCGCGGGGAGAAACAACAATACCTCATACTTCATTAGAAAGGTATGTATCATAATTACGATTGTACCATATAGTAGAACTTTGTGTTTATATATCCTAGAATGTTATGCTATAGTATTTCATAGTAAATTATGTGGGCATGTCAGAGCGGAGATGAGACGATATCCTCGACGACATCCGAGAGGGATTTGCTCAGGAAAGGCTGCAGGCAGACTTCTACGGCTATGTGTTTCTGTGTGGGTTCTGCGCCATCTTCATGCTTCTGCACATGACACATGACTTCGTCCTTTTTTGAACACTGCTACGTCAGCCTCGCATGCCATGCATTTGTGCGGCTTGGCTCCTGAGAACTGCGAGCCGTTGGACTCTCCGGCCCGCGCCTGCCAATATCCCTTAATTAAAGAATATACCTTAAAATTACAAGGGCCTTAATATTATGGTTTACGGTATGCTCCTTAATTAAGGGTTATTGAGCCTGCTTCCCGGCAGACCTTCCTCTGAACTTAGCAGCCATAGTTTAAGTTTTAGGGTTAGGGTTCAGAAGCTTAGGGGTTTTGGGTTTAACGAGCCATAACATCATAACACTTCATAAGTCTACCCATCTTAACCCAGCGTTAAAATCTTGAGGCATCTGCGAGGATGAGCGTGGCATCCTCCCTGGGAAGCGTGTCGATGGTGAAGGAGCCGGTCGCAAGACCTGCAACCTGACTCCAGCATGAGGGAGGAATAATGTAGGAACCTGAGAAAGAAACCCTGGGTCTATAACCCCAGAATAATAGGATTCATATATTCGGAACCCTACTATCGGCCCAAGGTTTCTGAATCAGGTTCCTACATTATCTGGGAATTATAATTAAGTAGGGCCCCTTCCAAGGGTCCCTAGACAAGTTTGTAGGGGGTATAAAGGGGTTTAGTGCCGGGGCCTTAAGAATTTCTAAGGCGATGTGCAAGGGGTTTCTCAAACAGAGGCCACCACGGCGCACCTTTCTGTTTCGGAATGCCCAAGTGTCCCCCGGTCAACTTGATTCGTGCCTTGAAGTTGACGTTGTCACCCGAATGCAGGTCCCCGGTATACTCGAAACACTTCTTGTACCTTCGCACGGCCAGGATAAATGCAGCCTCGCCATTTATTATGAGAATCACGACACAGCTGAGGTCTGAGGTTCAAGCTCTAACTTCTTCTGGATTGTAGCCTGCCGGGACAGCAGGCGAACGTGGTAATTGCAGTCACATAGTAATAGTGATACTATGGTAACCATAACGAACACTGTGAATGCGGCAGAGGACTGATCTGGCACCATGCCAGGAACACGTCCGTTTGAACGTCAAGCCTCTATGGTATTATAACAGTAGCATAGCATGTTTATAGTCGAGTTGGAATGCTTTCATAGGACTATCAAAGCACGACGATTGTCTTGCTATACTGGTGTCATAGCAATATCATCGTACCATCATAGCAGCTTACGACGTCCGACCCTAAAGCCTAAACCCTCAACCCTAAACCCTGAACCCTAACCCCTAAACCCTCACCCCTAAACCCTAAACAGAAAATCCGCCTCATTGAGGAGGACTTCGAAAGGAGCCTCGCCCGGGTGGGCACTGCACACCTGAAACACTAGCCAGAGACTCTTAAGTCACAATTGAGAATTTAGGTTTAGGGTTTAGGGTTTCATAACTCAGAATTTAAGGGGAATCATAAAAAAGCAACTGAGGAATATACCTTCCATCGTATTAGGGTTCCTATGATATGTAAGGCATATTCTTGGATTAAGGGCGCTTTGGAGTCTCTGCAAGCTAAACATGGTGGAGTCAGGAACCCTAAAACCGGAAGCAGCCAGGCTTCACGCGCGGAGCTTCAGCTTGTAGTCCAGATTCTTGACAAACTTGTTGCCTTGCCTGAGGATTGGGTTTAGACCCAAGAGTACGCTAGGAAGAAAAAGGGGTCCCCTTTTTGGTTTCAAGGGCTTATAAGGGAACCTGAACCCCTAAAAAGGGAATACTAAGAGCCTACTCTGGGTCCTACGGTTGATGATATAAATCCTGCATTACCCATAATAAGGCATAGACCACAATTCTCATAGTTTGGGGTCCTTAAGGTAATGTAGGATTTATATCATCAACAGTAGGGGTCTAGGGTTGAGGGTTCAGGGCTTAACCCTAAACATCCCTAAACCCTAAACCCACCCTAAACCCTAAACCCTGCAAGCGGGTTCGCTAACAGGGAGGATCTTAGACTGTATTACAAGTGCTCTTGGGTCAGGGCTTCTTGGAGTTCACTTCGGCTTTGCTTGAAAACGTGGCATGCACGACATTTTCCAGACATTTCCAGAGCTAGCTCATGAACATTCTGTGTTTTCGTCTTTGCTTGTCAACACTGAATCGACGCAGCGCCCTATCTTGCTGCCTTTCTTAAAGTTTCTTTGCTCGGTGTTGGGAGGGGGGGGATGATGACGTATATATCGGGCTTTTCAGCCACAGCCTCTGGCCAAGAGTGAGAAGTACCATTCTCGGTACTGCCGTGCGTGTCCACAGCTCGGACACCGTGCGCGTGCGCACGCACGCACGCGGCCCCCTTTCATCTTTCCAGCACCGCCCAATGAATGAGTGAATTGATGCATGATTGACTGAACGCATGAGCGTGCCCACCCAATGAATGAATCCTTCTTCCCTCGCCCACTGAAAGAGTGAATGGATCAAGGATTGAATTCACCAATGAGCGCTTGCGCTCTTCATTTCTTCTCCGCCCAATGAATGTGAGTTACTGGATGAATGATTATTGAATGAACGAAGGAGCGCGGAAGCTCTGAGTCGAAGGGCGTGCTCTTGCCTGCGTCGCCCGCCTCTGGGCTTCGCCGCTTACATAATTTGCATCAAACCACCTTTCTAGTGATTTAGGCCTCTGCACTACAACTCTGTATCGATAACAAAGAATCCCGAGCTCCAAAGCCTGGCTGAAACACCTTTGACCATAAAGTCCATAGCCGTACATAGTTGATGCATCACCACTCTTGATGGCACAGCATAACACAACATAGCATAAACACGAATGACTCCAAGACTCCAGGATCAATCCGAAAAACCTCAACATAACCTTTCTGAAACCCTTTTTTCCGCTGAACCAGAAACACGAAATCCCGAAAAGCACGAGTCGAAACCACCCCTGTTCGTGAACCTGCTGGGTAAACCTTAAACCCACCCTAAACCCACTCCAAACCCTAAACCCTAAACCCTGAACCCTGAACCGTGTTCGCAAAGTCGTCTGCGCACATCAGGGCCGTGGCAGAAGGGACGGATTTCTGGGGCGAGCCAGATGCCACAGGTCGCTGAGAGTCCTTGCGAGCGTTTAGGCGTTAGGCTAGTTTTTGGGGTTTAGGGTTTAGGGGTTTAGGGTTAAGGAACTTTAGGGCTTTAGGAACTTTATGGTTTAGGGCTTAGGGTTTAGGGACTGTCTCGGCATTTTCGAAAGATCCCATGCATCCACGTGGCCTCAAGCGCAACTCCGACGGCGATGCTTGGTGGATTCCTGCCAAGCAAAAGAGCCCGAGACTCCTAGGGTTCCTTTAAAGGGATCTCTAAGGGTTCCTTTAAAGGGATTTATAAGGGTTCCTTTAAAGGGATCTCTAAGGGTTCCTTTAAAGGGATCTCTAAGGGCTCCTTTAAAGGTCCGAGGATTGAGGGTCTGGGGATGATTGAGGGATTGGGCCTTTAGGGGTTTAGGGGTTCCCAGAAAGCCGAATACCCCTTAATCCAGGAACAGACCTTAAATTACAACGGGATTCATATTATGATTTAAGCTATATATTCCTGAACTAGGGGGTATCGGGCTCTCTCTTGGGGGATCTATAAGGTTTCCTGTAAGGGGTAGTAGAAGGGATCTACAAGGTTTAGGGTTTAGGGGACTCCAATAATATCCCGAAACTAAGGAATATGCCTTAAACTACTTGAAGGCTCATGGGACTTAGTAAGTAAGGTTATAAGTAGGTTATAATTAGGATAACCCCACTTAGGGGACTTATAATCCCAATTATAACTTACTTACTAAGTCCCATGATCCTCTAAGTATCATAGGAGCCCTAATATGATTTAAGGCTAGACCCAAGAGTAACCCAGGCATAAAAAGGATGCCCTTTTTGGTTTAAAGGGGCTTATAAGGGAACCTGAACCCCAAAAAAGGGAATAAGGGCCTACTCTGGGTCCTAGAAGGAGTATCTTCCTTAGTTGAAGGATCCTCGGGTCTCTTGGGAGCTCCTAAAAGAAAACAGCTTTAGCAGTCCGAAGTTTCGAGTTTCCGGGGCTGCTTAGGGCTATGTAACGGCTCATGAGGGGACTTTTCGGAAGACATTTTCTTCCTAAGGGCCGTGATCCTCCTAGACCCTACGGCTGGTGGACAATATCCTGCATTACCCATTATAAGGAAGATACCATAATTCCCATAGTTTAGAGTCCTTAGGGCCATGCAGGATTTTGTCCGTCAACAGTATGGGTTTAGTTGCTCCCCAACCCTAAACTCTAATCCCTATAGATCCCTTTAAGGAACCCCTATAGATCCCTTTAAAGAGCCCTTAAGTAGGGGCTCCTGATGCCACGGAGAGGAGGGCCCAGAGAAGCGGCCCTCTTCTGAGAGCCATGGCACCGGCCCACCGCACTACGTTCCCAGAGACTCCTATTTCCCCCCCTAAATTCAGGAATATACCTGAAATTATAATAGGATCCCTAATGTGATGTTGGGAATATCCCTTAATTGAAGGAATATACCTGAAATTATAGTAGGTTCCCTAATATGATGTTAGGAATATTCCTTAACTAAGGGATATTGGAGTCTCTAGGCGCAACTACGTTGAAGGCTGAGCGGGCCGCGGGGCCCTGTGAGCCAAAGGGCACACGGGGCTTACTTAAAGGATCATGGGACTTAGCAGCTAGGGTTCTACATAAGGTAACTATACTTATAACCCCAATTAGGGTACTTATAACCTTACTTACTAAGTCCCCTGACCCTCCAAGTAGGGGCGAGAATTTAGGGTTCAGGGTTGAAGTCAGAACAGGGTTCGGGGGTAGAGTATACTGCAACCATAAGACGGAACCCCGAAAATAGTATTGCTAGTTATTTAGGCCCTAGCAAAGCATACAGAAAAAGGCTCCAGCTTGGGATTACGCAAGGACAGTGGCCTTCAACAGGGATAGGGAATTGTGCTATAAGCAAGGTATTTTCTGAGGCTCAAGTCACCAGAACACGCCAGAACACCAAACCCTACACCCTACAAGCCCGCCTGAACCCTCTGAACACGGAAGACGTTTCCAAGGAGAGGCAATGGCTCCTACAAAGTACCGTTTAGCTTAGGCGATCTACTTTTTGGATCCTTCCGGCGGTCTGGGTTGGGGAGAGATGGGCACTAATTACGGACTCCCCCCCAACTTCCGCCACTGCTGGAGCACGAGAGAGTCAGGAAAATCATGGCTAGCTCACTCATGTGCCTTCTACTTACACGCCATGGACACATAAGCGCAAGAGCTTCCACATGTGGAGCAATGATGAAGAAGAAACCACTGGCCAAGCAGAGCACTGTCATGCTGCTGATTGATGAAATCCTGCATCTCTTTTCTTCTGCTATGCCATGCATCTCGCAGCTTGTGGATGCTGCTGCCGCTTCCCCAGAACAGGCCTGCGCGTTTTGGTTCTGTGGGAAATCCCTCGGGCGCATCCCGCCATCATCCGTTCTGAAACAGTCAGACAGATTTCTGGCCGAAACACTGACCCCTAAACCATAAATCCTGAATCAACATGTGTGTCTTTATTCACCATGCGTGTGTCTATTCTTTACTGCGCCCCAAACCCGTATAATGGTGACGACAAGCACAGTTCAGGAGGCACGCTTTGCGACGCTTCGACCAGTTGAGTTCGGTTCGGAGTGTAAGGGTAGGGGGCTTGCGACTTAATGATGTAAGGATTTGCGGTTCGCGGGCTTTGGGGACTGCATCATGTTTGACCCAGTGGCACTGGGGGTTGCGATGATCGCTAGTAGCTGCAATCTCTCCATGTTATGTCATGACGATGATAATGATGAGAAGATGATGATGATGATGATGATGAGCCTCCCGCTGTTCCTCCTGCTCCCCCATCATCATCAGCATCTTCATCATCATCGTGGCTCTTAAACTCCATGCCGTGCGCCTAGCCGCACATGCTTGAAGATTCTTGTCGAGGTCTTGGGCTTTGACTTCGTAGGGGTTACGATGAAGAAGCGACTGTCCTAAAGATATG